CCTTGCGTCCCCATTTGTAGCTTCTCAGCCATACTATTGTATTTGTTGGCTTTTCTCATATAGCTATTTACAAGAGCGAACTCTAATAATACACCGAAGATGAATAACATACAGACTGAAAGAATTTGTTGATGATAATGACAGTTTTCAACTTCAAACCTCCGTAGAAGTAATCGATAGCTTTGGCATAAGAAACAGCTGGTAGCATATAACGTATACCATTCCCCTTAAGCAGAAAACAGCAATAACTAACTCAAATTGCATCTCTAACCTGAGTACTAAGTGTAAGCAAAGTGGTAAATGATAGTGAAACCCGTGCTGGTACAGCTCTTCGATCGATCCAGAACGAAACCCACGAAATAGCGACAATAAGTGCTGTAGGTATGTAGCTCTGAACTCTATGAATATAAAGTTGTACAAAGCCCTAAGCTTACCTGAACAAGATGGAACCCGATAGCTCGATTCAAGTTAAGCTTGCCCAGTAAACAAGAAAAGTCCCCTGTAACACAGAATTAGTATAAGAGTTCATTGATACCAATCCGTTTACATCATTCGCGTGTAAGTGAGCAATGTGAAATGGAAATGAACTAACCTATTCTAGATGAGTTATGTGTTATAGTGTAATGGAAGATGCCATCACAATAATCATTTTCCATGGAAATAATATGAAATTCCGGAAGATTGATCTGAAACTTCAATATAACACGATTCATAGGTGCAGAATATTACATCAGGATTATATCGAATTGACCCTTCTTCAAACCATGTTGCATTCATCTCAGATTTGACATGACCATCTGAAAAAAAAAAAATTATATATTTTTCCGAATGATCGAACTAGCTAAGACTGCCATATCAAATTCGAACAATTTTGAATGTTTCCATCTCGCTATAGAAGTATCGTTGTGACGTATTCTGGGTTGTTGGTCTGACGCTTACTCACGTGGCATTTGGATCATTTGGAACTTAAGAGACGGGGAGTACGGTTGTGATTACTAATGAACAAGAGGTTATTTTTTTTTCCCGAAAGACGCCAACATTATAGAAAAATGTTCTCACCTCCCTATAGAAGTGTCGTTGTGACGTATCCTGTGTGAGTTAAGTTCTATGTTAAGTCCAAATCTTATTGTATGAAATTAGTTTGGATGAAAATCGCGTTGAATCTCAGAAACTGCTCATGCTCGAACAATAATTTGATTTTAACTTTTACTCATTCGTCACATTAATGGGATGTGATGCGGAGCCTATCTAATTAGATCAAAGAGGTGTGATAGGAATTAGGCGCTGATTATTGGTCATCCAAAGAAAATGTATTTTTTTAGAAATATTCTTTTTTTTTGTCTCATATTCTAGTGATGTAAAGATAGATTGTGAGTGTTCGGTTACGTAGGCTGACACTCCTCTGGGACCTTCATTCAGATTTTTATGAAGGATTGTAAGCCACCTTGTCGAATGAGACTCAAATTTGCTTAAAGCAGCTAACTCGGATATTCTTGTTTATCTATCTCAAAGCGCGTTAGATGACAGACATTTTTTTTTCTCGGTTCATGCACACTTTAGCATACATTAGTCCCACGTTTCCTTATTTAGTTTATGGCTCGGATAATCTTCTGGGACGAGCAAAGAGCATTCGTAGAAATCGAAGGACAACCCTCGTAGAAGATTTTTTAGACATGATAACCATTGCCCAACGAAGAAAAAGTGCCCCGCATGTTAATTTGAAAAAAAAAGAAAAGAAAAAAGAAACTTACAACTGATGATTTTAACCAAACAAGTCTGTCGATCTAATGGATAATCTTTCAAATCCAAATTACAAGCTGAATGTGAAGGGTAATTCTAGTTCAATTCAGCATTGAACATACCCAAATTGAGTGTAACGCGTGTGCCATAACTAATCATTCCATCGGGTGCAATGAACATATTGAAATTGTGCACCTTATAAGGAGATAGTTATTGAATATGTACATTCCAATAAACTTACGGTCACATCGTGAAAATAGGCAGTTCGCGCATTAGCAAAGTACAAATCCGGTAACCACATATTGTCAAGAAAGTGTTTATCTGAGATAGGTTTTGATTCGTTTGAACACCAAATGGTTTATCTTCTCATGTATATGAGAAGGTCATGAGCATGTTTTCGTCTATATCTTATAAAGATAGTTTTTTTATGAAATAAACATAGCTGTAGGGCATAGCTAATGATGTAAATCGGATTTGGAGATAAGCAAAGAGTTCACCAACCATTAACCAGTACATAGTCCGATTGGTTATGGGCCATGCGCACATCCAGCCAACTCATATACATATATAAATCCATATCAAATGTCTATAACATGTATATCATTGACGTCATGTAGAAGAATGTGCTTACCATTTCTGTTGATCGAAAGTTACCCAAACTTTCGACAAAAAATCCTACGTACACATGCAAGGGCTTGCCGGATGGACGGTTGTTGATTGGCAGCGATTTCTTAGCCAAACGATCATAAATAGGATTTCGGAACTTGCTTGTTGTTTTTCCATGAATTCTATATAAGTGAATTAAGTTTTTTTCTTTTCTTCTTCTTTTTTTGTTCATTAAAAAATCATTCCAATGACTATTAGGGCCATGTGAACTTCTGAACGAAAGGATATGGTCCCCGGAAAGAAAGAAAACATTCTTTCATTTCAACAAACAATAGAATTATCATCTATGTTCGATTCATCTTGCACTTTGCTCAAACTTAGAAGAAGATGAAAAAAAGCATATCTATTTCTGGCTTCATGGTCATTCCCATCATAAACGAAGGGCCATGGAAGCTTATGTAGTTGGGGGTATGATCTATTAGCTTTCATCTTGTCTTCTCATGGACTTTGCACTCAAAAAACTGAGAAAACTTTTTATAATTTACGATGATGGCAACTTCGCTTTTCAAGAGTTAGTCTGAAGATAACTCAAAACTAGAGTAATAGTGGGTGTGATTTGAAACTTCATATCAAAATGTCGGACGTATAATTGGTCTCGTAGCGATAAGAATCACCTATCACTCTTTCTCGCACTCAATCTCAGTTATTCAAAAGGATGATTGTTTCAAAAATTGAAAAACAAAACTCACAACGGTATACTTAAGAAGAGCAGGATGATGTTGATCTTCAGAATACTCTCCAATTTCGATCGAATAGATGATCTCATCTCTTATCTGGTTCAACTGCCAGCTAACGTTCAAGTGTAGAATACTGAAGACGGGCTGGGAATAGAATGTCGAAGAGTTCGGAATTTTCTTTTGTTCAACAAGTCTGAGGATATTCGTATGCCTGCACTCTATCAAGAATGCTAACTATCTATCTTGAGAAGAGGGGGAGAGTCAATGTTTCAAAGCTTGTCGGACGTCAAGATGATTGTTTTCTTCTGATTTTTTTGTACTTCAGCCAATTTCCTATAGAGCCATGAGTGAACAGTTGAAAGAGAGGATAGTCAAAGAAGGTAAGTTTGTGAGTGGGATGTAATTTGGTAGAAGAGTAAACACGTCGATTTTGTGAAACAGAGATGAAGCTTGATCAAAGCTGGAAAATGGGAAGATGAACAAACTCTGAAATGAAAATATTATGAGGACGAATAAGACGGCGATTATTCAAGAATGTATGAAAAGGTAAGCATCAACAACAATGAAACGACAGCCTCAGGCAGCTTACATTCATGGACTGATGAATGAAAATATCAAAATTTTAAATGTTTTCTGATGTTTTTTTTTCTCTTTTAATTTCATCTTAGCAGTCGACAGAAAAATACACTTATGAAATGATAAAGAGAAGTTTAGAAGAAAACATCCGTATTCGGGATGTTTAAACTGTCTGCGTCTCGATCTGTTCTTCATGTCTATGTTAATCCCTCATTGGCTCTGGGGACAAGGTGTTAAGGTATTCGTGTACTGAACGAAGAAAGAAAAAGAGCAAAATAAGAGTGTGTGTAATGAGGATTACAGAAGAAGCCAATGTAGTATTGCCAAGGGACAGAAGAAGGTTGATTAGCAGCTAAGGCTGAAGGTTCAAAGGATTAGCTGTACGAATTTAATTCTTACGTATCAACATACACTTTTTCCTTTTTTGGAACGGAAAAAAACCAAAAAGTTTATAAACGGACAATTCATCGGAACAAGGAACTGCAAACATGATAGAGAGGAAGAGAGAGGGAGGAAGAGAGGTAGGCAGAGAGAGAGAGAGGGAGTAAAAAAAGTTTTTTTTTTCCGTTGATTTATCTTTAATTGAAGAACAGAAAATGTTTTATGAATATGTGAACAGACAAGAAAGGGGGTGGTTGGTGTTGGTGTTGGTGTGTGTGTGTGTGTGTGTGAGTGTGTGAGTGTGTGAGTAAGATGAGGGTGGCCAAGTTCAGAATATCTAGATGATAGCCAACTCATGCGGCGGAAGTTGATGATGGCAGGAAAAGTACAAAAAAAGAAAATAGTTGATATGTGTTGAAAAAATATTTAGTTGAAAGCAAAGGAGCAAAAATAATTTTTATATCCATATAATGGTTAAGTACAGTGGAGGAGAGAGTGGAGAGATGAAGCTGCTGAAGCTAAGACGGATGAAAATAAGATGAAGCAATTTCAAAGTTCAAACTTCGAAATAAAAATTTCTTGAATATACTCAATCTGACTTGTTGGTCGTGCATCAGAACATTTGCTTCTTTAGCTCATTTATTGAAGAGAGAAAGGGAGATAGAGAGAAAGAGAGAGAGAAAAAGGGTGAGAGAGAGAGAGAGGGAGATATGATGAAGATGCTTTTTTGCGACATCAGATAAAACCTTCTATCTTTCATCGTTTTGTCTGGCCTTCTCATTTAAAAGCCAATTGAAGAATGTTCACAAGAACATCTTAGCATCAATCACAGCCATTAAGCTTATCTGAAATTTATTATTGTCGATTGTCTTATACTCATAGCAAGCTGCAAGCTTCTACTGCTTCAAACACAAAGTATAAACTTCTTATTTTGAGTAATGGAGCGAGAAGGACAAAATAAAAACGAAAAATTTTCAACAACGTAGGGATTCAGAAGTTTGTATGTGTGCATGTGTGTGTGTGTGCATGTGTATGTGTGTAGGAGTGGTGTATCAAATCTTATTGAAAAGGAAACATGTCCATGTGAAGCATTGAGTCAGAACATCTTTCCACAGATCTTCTGTCCTCTTCTACTCCGCCTTCAATCTCTGTCTCTGTCTCTCTCTCTCTCTCAATCTCTCTATGCTCTCTCTTTATTGTCATATTTTTTTCTTTGAAGATATTATGGGACATAACATCACCAAATTCATAATATGCTTCTACTCTAACAGTCGATGAATGATTTGTGTAATCCGTGTCTTTTCTTAATCTTACGACATTTGTTCCAAAAAAAGGGGGAAGGCGAAATAAAGCTGTATTGCCATGTATGGCAAGACTCCTCATTCCATATTGTCTTGTCTGATGTATGCTCACCATTGAAGCAGTCATTTCTTTAACTTTCATTTTTTATATAAAAAGAGTAACAAAAAAATTGTTGTAGGCAGAGAGCATTTATTAGAAGAAAGAAGTAAGCGGAAGGAAAAGAAAACTCAGAAGAGAGTCTCTCTGTCTGTCTGTGTATGTGAGTGTGTATGTGTGTGTGTGGAGAACAAAGCTTCCCAAAACGTCTACCTCGTCATGAATTCAATATTAGACAAGAAAAACTCATATGAGGCATCTCTTAATTAATTATTCTAAAGAAAACAAATGAATTCATCATAGACTATAACTTTTTATGAAGTTTTCTTACATTTTTAGCCTTTTTTTCATTTTTTTGCTTATTTGGAGAAGGGAGATGAAACGAAAACGAAATATGGTGCTTCGAATATAAATTTAAGAAACGACTGGTCGGCATTAACTGGGCAATGAATAAACAACATCATCCTCACAGAGTCTTCCTTTTGGAAAAAAGCTGAAAGAGTTAATTTATCTTTCTATTCTGGGGCGCTGACCATCATCTAGTCATCTCGTAATCGCTGTGGTGAAAACTGTTGCAAAAATAGAGAGAGAAAAAGAGAAGGAGAGAGAGAGAGAGAAGGGAAGTGTGTGAGAAGGAATGTGAGAATGGAAGAAAGAGGAAAGAGAGAGAGAGCACTGAATTCTCTCTCTTCAAAATAGAAAATAATAGGAAGGAGAGAGAGCCGGTTCAAACATTTTTTTCCACTGAAATAAGAAAAGCAAACGAGAAATGCATTCGCGTCAAAGTAATTCAGGATAGTAAGACGAGGATGAAAAAAAAAGAGAAAAAAAATTTATAATTTTTATAAACTAAATTCGTTTATAGATGATTTGAAGTGATATTTACAATAACAGTCTCTCTTCACATCTTTCAGTCAAATGATTCTGTTTCGGAGTGCTCTTTTGACAATTTCATTCTCAATATGGTTGGTCGTGTAGTAGCATCAGCAACAGAAGCAGTAGTAGTAAGCGTGTGCCATCAACATCTTGCAGCTCGCAGACCTTATCTCTTTCTTTCTGACTACAAGGTTTGGAGTATAGAGAGAGAGAGAGAGAGAGAAAGGAAGAGTGAGGGGGTGAGGATAGATGGGTCAAGACAGAGGTACATATCAGACGACAAATCCTAACTGAACGTCGATAGAAAACAGCACATGTTCAAAATTCATTTTTGAAAGGTGAAAAGGATAGCGGTTACTTAGTTTCTCCAATATGAATAGTGTAAGGAATTGAAGTAAGAAGGTTGTCAACAATAAACATAATCATTCTGCCCCTCATAGACACCACCACCACCACTACCACCACCACACGGAATAGGAAAGCTGAAGCTTTCAATTATTTTAAATGTTTTCTTTTTTAGAAAATGGAAGAAGAATAAGGTTGTTATCGCTAGAGAAAAGCTCATTTTTCATGACAAATACGAGGATTGTGGATAAGTTGACGTGAAGCACGTGGAATTAGAATATCAACAGTTCACGTATTCACGTGGAACGTCAAACCGCTCTAATTATGTGGGTATCTGTCAGACGGACAGGTATTCTAGGATGTGCGAGCGTTAATGTTGTTTGTTGTTTGGTCCTCAGGTAGGAAGTCACGTTCTCACGTGCGCCTAGGGGTAAAACAGGGATACTGTAGATCCGTAAAAGATTTTGGGATTTTCTTACAAAAGGATGATAAGAGATTTGAGTCATTAAATACGATACATTAATATTATTTTTTCAGTGTGGAGCCTTTTAAAAACAAAATTGATAGCAGAAGCCTGGAGGAGGCAGTGAGGTCTCTTAATATGGTTTTAACGCAACCATTAAAAAAAGTTGCCTATGACGTCAACTTAAAGGTAATGATTATAATTTCAGCCACAGTTTATTTATCTTTGTTCTCAGAGGTTCATTGTACCTTCGTACAGATGGAAAGAAAAGGTTGAGGAAGTGCGAAATTTCTTAATAGAATATTTCGAAGATGGAAAACCCTTCCCCAACTACATATGAGGAAAATATTTGGGCTATTTTTACTTACAATTGGAATTTTGGCGAGGGAATGGATCGCAAGGTATTTATTTTCAGATTATCACTTAAATTATTTTATTGGTGAATTGCACAAAACTTTTAACATTTTTGCCATAACGTTTGATAATCTAGCGGTTTTGTGAAGTCAAAATCCAATAAATGAAAAGAAGCGTTAAATCATCTGATTGCCGGTTTTACCATTACTGTGTGATAAGACTGAATAAATAATTTTGAAGAAATGTGTTAAGTTTGAGTGTATTGGTTTATATGCTCCATGATCAAGGAAAAAAGAAATCAAGCTACTAATAGATCTTTTTAATAAAATAATTTATCAATTTGAGCTTGGTACTATCTTCTCATTTCAAAATAATCTTGTTATTCTCACGTTTACTGGCAATTAAACAATATTTTCTCAAATTATAAAGGAAAAATCCCTAAAATGAAAAAAAAAAGATCAAAATCATAGAGCATGAAAGTAATGTTGAAAATTGATGATTTATTCTGTCAAAAATGGTCTGCATTAGAGAAGTGTGATGGGTTATGAAACTTTTGGATACATATGTATTGAAATTAATAAAATAATGTTGAAAATTCCCAAGCATTTCTTCTTTTCTTTGGAAAAGTGTTATTTTTGAATAAAATTTGTTCTTTTAAACAATAGAAATGAGAGTAAGTCAGGGTTTCTTAATAGACAATGACGCCCAACAGACCTTCTATACTACTTACGAAAACGTCTTGATCGTCCTGCTGGATGTGGTCAAAGTTCTATTAATTAGAATATCAAAGTGTGAATGAACTATAAGCTGAGCTGCTTGCTTTTCAAGCAATTTTTGAATATAAAAGAAAGAAATCTTTTTGTTCCCTCATTTTCTTTCTTTTGCAGCTAAATAAATGGGAGAAGGAAAGAGAATGAAGAAGAGTAGCTGACTGAATAACCATATTCTCATAAACCACCAATGAAAATAAAAACAAACGTCATAAAGCGGAAAGTATGAAGATATATGAGGAAAGATTAAGAAAGGCTTAAAGAACATAATATGTTTCATTGCCGTCTCTTTGAACGTACTTGATGCACACGCACACACACACACACACACACATGAAACATCTGATGATGCTTCATGAACATCAGGAACAGGAAGCAGGTAACGGTCATGAAATGAGAAAGTTTCAGGAACTTTTTTTTTTGTTATGTTTTTACTGCTGCATAAAACAAAAATCGCAAAAATCATTGGCAGAGAATTCTGCATCAATGAACCTGTGGCACAACGAGGGTATGTCAGCAAGTATGCACAAAGATGAAATGGAATTTGACAATTTTTTTGTGTTCGTTAAAAGAGTTTGGAAGTGTAAGGGCATAACGATGGTACATGCCTTCCGTTTGTCATTCAAATTCTATTATTTTACATTTTCATGTTCAAACTTGTCAATAACAGTCATTCTTTTGAATGATCGTGATTGTTGAACTCCAGGATGATTGAAAATAAAGAGAAGATAATGAGAAAGAGAAAGAGGTAGAGATGTGAAGGTATGATGAGATAAGTTGAGAGAGAGAGAGAGAGTGAGTGGGGTGAATAAGTTTTTCACAGTATTGGCATTGCTGAAAGATTTCAGATACAACTTGGTTGAGATTAATTATATCAAAGAGCATCGTGTATAAGGAACATGGTTGTAGTAAGAGCTGATCTTAAGTCAAACTGAATCAGGTTTTTAGCTTCATCAACATCATCATCAACATCCAAGAGAAGCGACTCCTCCCCTCAACTTATTCCCTTTCAACAACATCTTGTTATATGTTTAAGAGGGAGAGAGAGGAGAAGACGATGAAGAAGAAAAAAGTAATAAAGTTTTTAAAATGTAGCTTATATGTCAAATAAATGTGTTTTTTTGTTGTGATAGATATAGACATGACAGTCATGAACTATTGCTTTGAAGGTATTGAAGCTTCAAGTATCAACGACACACATATCCATGTATAGGAATACACGTATATCATATCCGCACGAGGAAAAGAAAAGAAATCTGTGAATTAGCGGCGAACAGACAGACACTTCTTCTATCGATTGAAGCCCAAAAGATAAACAATAATATTAATAATAATATATATGTAAAAACAATCATAGTAATAATAATAATGTGTTGGTAACACGTTCATGGGTGCATTTACTTTTTCTTTTTTTCTCTCTGTCGTCCAACATTACAGAGAAAAGGTAAAAACTATGAACGTTTAGGAATGTTGTGCGACCAAATAAAATAATTCATTAATGGCACTACGAACATGAAAAACGAAAAAATATTTTAACAATAAGCTTCTTCCTTATTTGCCTTGACTCATATACGTCTTACAGCAATTAGGGATGTTAACATCTCATGATGATTGTAATAGAAGAACAAGTATAGTCTTGTCTAAAACAATTCGTTTCTTCTCAACAGACATTTGATACTGCTAAGGTGATGAATATACAGAAGACATATGATTTTCTCATCTTCCTCACTCGTCTCATCCTGCCATCTCGTATCTACAGCTTGAGCAAGACAACGAGGATGAGAGAAGCAAGCACACAACACATTTCGCAGAGATAGAAGAAGGAGGAGAAGAAAAAAAAAACCCGAGAAAAGACAGAGAAGAATTGTGTTCGTTTTTTGATTGTTAAAAACAAAAAGATGGAGCAATAAGAAAATGAGCAAAATCTTAAGTTACGAGACAGGAGAAGGTTGCATGTAAAGCTGTTTATAGAGACATGCTGATGCTGCCTTCAACCTCTCTCTCTCTCTCTCTCTCTCTCTCTCACTCTTGAACCACAAAAATTAATTTGAAAACTAATCATAGCAGCACATTACAAGTTCAATATCATTGGAGTTTGTTGGAGTTAGAAAGCAAAACACTGTTGTTCACAAATTAATTTGATACAACAGCTTGTGGAAGATTTCAATTCACATATTCAAATGACATATTAGTTTTGAAAAACTGATGGACGGCTCAGATGGATGAAGCCATGATTGGAGGAGCATCGTTATAAGACATACTTTCAGCTTAAAAATAGCATAACAGATTATTAGAAGCAGAGTACTATTGAACCTAATTATGAACAAACGGCTGCTGCAAACCATTTCATTGTATTTCGATCAACGGCAGTTAGGAAGCAGTTTGAACGAGCTGTCTTTTCCCGCAAAATTTGTTTATCGTGTTAAGATATCAGTATGAGCTTGTTGTATATTTTCATTTTCCAAATATTGGTCGTGTTGAGCGGTTGCTTTCTTCTTTTTGTATTCTCACAATTTGAATTGGAACTGCATTTTGTTTTTCAATTTATCAAATTGGATGAAACACTTTGCTTTTACTTCACAGAATGAACTATATACAGCGTTCGAATAGAATATGCTTTCTCTACATCTGTTTCCCGTTGTAACCTCTATATGACTTTTGTAAATGAACGAAAGTTGCTCTGACGATCATTTGTTCAAATGGGTTGAATTCAGTACGTAAAGTGGAATGCCAACTAATAGGACATTGGTATTTTTTTGGCGAAAAGTGCCTTGTTTGACTAATTAAAGAGCTGGTTGGACGAGATAATGCTTATGTCTGCAAAACGAATGAAACTTCTATTCTTTACGGTTTGAAAGGACAAAAAAATTAAAATTTCATCTCCTCTTCAATTTTGTCATTTGAGGATGTTTTTTTGGAGGAAAGACAATCGTATTGTTATGGAGGGGAGGTAATTGAATTGCCAAGATGTTTATAAATCACATTTTCTTACCATTTGGGTAGATCGTCTTCAACACATAGCAGACGACTCTACTAAATCACATTGCACACATCATGTTTACCGGAATTTAAAGACTATCCACATAACTCTTCTTTCAATCATGAAATCTTATATATTAATTGTTTGTTTCATAGAACACCACATGTGGTCTTCTATTCCATGAACTTTGTGTTTCCGAATTGCAGAGGGTTTTCAAGGGATCTTTGGATGTTCTATCAGAAAGTTCAATCTATCTACAGTTCCGAACTAGGCAGGCGATGGACATTCCCGATTATCCAACTTTCAGGTGACTCTATCTACCAGGAAAATCTAAATTTGACAACGCACAAGGATGTTGTCCTCTTTTTAAAATCGTTGTTTATTGATTTGTTCACTCAAACCGTTTGCTTCAGGATTCCCTCTTACTGGATAGAGGTTGTGCTCAATTGAGTCGGAATGCGCTTGAGAATGCTAATGTCTCGTCTACAAATGATGGGACTTTCTAATTTCCGGCAAGGTGGAGAATGGGTATGTCATATGAACTCCCAGATTTATTAATTCCCTTTTTGTTTTTTTGTGCAGATTTATCGAATATCATTAATTGTATTAGCCATATTATGTGGATTCGCCTGGTATCAAAGAACAATCAACATGTGGGCTCTGAAGAACATTGGAGACACTTTTTTGACCAAAGAAATAGGTTTACAACTTTGAAAACTTCTTTAACATTCTTGTGAGTTGAAGGTAGTCGGCAAATCGTCTTGGGCGCTTTTTTCCGTCCCTTAAATGAACAAAATATTCAAGGAAAATATGCTGTAAGCTTTGCTAGGAAGATTCTTTCAGACAAATCATTCTAGGTCATCCATTTCGTAGGTGACACGCGAATGGAACATCCAGTGTACTGTTTCACAAAAAAGCCTGATAACACATATTTGGGTACAATAAAAAGATCCATAAATGTACACACTCAATCATATTCTTTTCAAGTTTCTCATGCACAAGTGGAACGAATCCATAAGGGTAAAAGAGCTGCCAATGATATATGCTCGTGGTCAGGACATATCGCCGAATGTGAAGTTGATCCAAGTTCTAATGACTTCAGGTTTATGAGTTTCAAAGATCTGCTTAGACATTAATGATTTAAAGAATTGGAGCAACTCCACAGTTTGAAGATTCAATGCTGGTAGTACCTGAGAAACCATTAGAGTAGCTTGAACAACGAGGAAAAATTCATTATTTTCGAGTTATAGGATTCCTCGTCAAGACTTAGTTGTTTGTGTTGCTCCTATGTATACGTATACCGACTGGGAAATCATGCTTGTTGGAATTGAAACTTGTATGTTCATCTCAAAATATCTTCTTAAATCTTTCTTTAACAGGGCTAGCATTGGGGGCTACGAAGATTGTGGTTCCTATTCAGTCAGCATCTTCATCCACTTACAGAATTCTGAAGGAATATGAAAAGAAAGGTTAGTTCATCTTCATTTCTTTCTTAACTTCCGTGCTTCAGGTCATGTTATCATTCGACAATGGCCCAAATGGCCTATCTTGTCTGACACAAACCCTAATGGACTTGTGTTGAGTAGAGGTTCAACATTTCCATATCCAATTGGATTTGATTAGTAAAACCCATTTTAGGAATCGAAGAGTCTCACGTCAACTGCCTATTCTTTGTGAAACCATGGGCAGATTTGGTAGTTTTTACGGATATAGATGACATGCTTCTTCCGCCTGATTTGAATAACGTAAAGCCCGGTGTAAATCTAGAAATTCTCCGGGTAAAAAGCGGAATGAAATAGAAAATTAATTGTTTTGATCGTAGAATCTTTTTGCTGAACATCCACAAGCTGGTTCATTATTATTCGAGCATAGGGATACTCAGTTCCAATTACTTCCTCAGGATGTGAGTTGATTGATCCTGTCACCAATTAATGAAATACTTGCTACCATAGGCTCGTTTCAACTTGAAAAGTTTCAACTTTGATTTCCTCAAGCACACAAAATCCAAAATGAATTGTAATGTGTGGAGGATGAAAACCCGAGTCGTTATTAACGCTAGTATGTCTTTCTTCTTATGCTATATCAAAGATTCATTCCGTAGGTCGAGTTGATTCCGTAAATATGCATGAGACTGGAATTCATCGATTTGGCTTTGTTCAGACAAGAGTTCCTTGCAGACAAGTGGATTACATTTAAAATCCAAAGTTTCAATACCTTTGCTTAAGGCACACTTCTACCACCTTAGACATTCCCATAGTAATGTACCATCCCCAGTTCCAATCGATACGTCTGCTTTACGAGAGATACTGAATAAGTGAACTGAGAGTACGGAATTCCTGAAGATATTTATGATTCAGACAATGGCAGAATCGATTGGAAGAAACTTTTTCATCATTCAAGGAAGTAGCACTCAATAAGTCATCAACTGAATCATTCGAGGTTTTTGCATCGAAACTACTTCAAAGAAATCTCTTCCGTTCTAGGATTTCGACCGTTGTATGGGAGCCATCAACGAAGAACATTGGACGATGCACGTTTCCCGTTGTCTAACGCCACATGTCTGCTTTAGTCGTTTGAAAAGGTAAAAAGTTTCGAAAAATGAAAAAAGAAGGGATGATGCGAGAATGAAACATGAGAGGCCACGGATTATCATTTTGATATGGCGTATTGCGCGAACCGGTTGCATCCTGCACTTCTCGCAATTTGAATATCGATTTTTTATTTTTCAGAGAAGTTGATTGTGTCGCGTCTCATGCAACTTTCAATTTTTATCGTTCTGGGGATGGATATGTTATGCAAGTCTCTTCAGCTGAGTTAAAGCCTTCATTAGCGAACTGCGAAGCTCCTGTTCCTCCATTTAGTGAAGGAAATCATTACTTCGCACCTTAAACGCATATCAAACAACAAGCTTCAAGGAAACGTCATAGTTTTTTGTTCTATTTTTTGTGTTTTGTTTGGAGTTTGCTTTTCATTATCATAATTATTTATTAAAAATTCAAGTGAGTTTTCGATTTTTTTTTATTAATTGGTAAATAAGCTTCTACAAACTTATTTTTCTTATTGTTACTGATAACTCGAATCACTAGAGCGTTTCATGTTCCTTCAAGCTGTTAAACTGATTTTCGAGTGAAAAGGTTATAAAAATAGAAGTTATTCCAATAATAGGGTAAGAGAATGATGAAAGTTCGACCACTAGGTCTGCTCAAAAAAAGCGTTAGAGACGCAGAGTTTGTCTTCCGACTCTAACACAGTGTAAGAGAGTCAGGCAAACAGAGGCAATTTCTACCACCCTAAACAGCTAACCGCTAGCATCAAGCTAGGAAGCAGACAGCCTTTTTCCAGCCGTATTTGAATTGACGAGGCTTGTTCAAAACAACAAAGATCAGCAATCATCCAATTTATAAAATTCTCAAGTCCTTGTTACATTAAACTGACTTTATTGGTATTATTTCGTAGTATTAGCTTTATTAAATCACTGCGTCACATACAGAGTACTCTTTCTCTTTATTTGCTTAAACCAAAGCTATATTTCTTATAAAGTTTTGTTTTTTCTTTCAATTAGCGTTTGTCCTTATTGCATTTCATTATTAATCTTTTGAAATAACTTGATTTCTACTTAAGTTCTTTTAGTGTTCTCATCCTGCCAATCAATAGTCTGCCGCATCCGTTCAGATTTTTAATTTTGGTAACTTCCTCTCTCACAATATTTTATTTTCCTATTTATATCTTGCTCAACTGCTTCGTTTTTTTTTGCTGCACAAGATTGATGCTATTAATTTCCTTATTTAGTAATTTCAACACACACGGGCCGGTAGCTGGTGTTTAGGCGTCTTATCCAATGGTTCGTTTATCACTCTATCATCTTTGAATATACTTCATATATTGTAGGGCGCAAACGCCTCTTCTCAACTTGAGAAAGAAATTAATGGCGATGTCGCTGGTAATGAGCATTTTTACGGTTTGGTAAATGTAAGTGTTTCATTTTCTGTAGCTTTTGCACTGTGTAAGCTTCTTACAGTTTGGAAATACGTGTTATTGTAACTCTGTGATTCAAGCCTTGTATTTTTGTCGCCCGTTTCGGGAAAGGATTTTGCAATATAAACAGTCACTTAAAAAATCTGGTGAGTTATATTCGTAATGAGTGCGTTTATTTCGTGTGCTAGGTCACCAAAAGGAGAATTTGGTAACATGTCTTGCCGATTTATTCCATAACATTGCCACACAGAAAAGACGAGTAGGAACCATAGCTCCTAAGCGGTTCATTACAAAGTTAAAACGCGAAAATGGTGAGTTCTTATGATATATTGCCATTATCGACCCATGTTCAGAGTTGTTCGATAACTACATGCAGCAAGATGCTCACGAATTTCTCAATTATTTATTAAACACTATATCCGAAACGTTAGTTGAGGAAAGGAATGCTGAAAATGATAAGTCGAATAAGAATGGTACATTACGGAAAGGGCCCGTATCAGCAGCCATAGAGCGAAAGGAGGAAGATAAAACGTAAGTAGTTGTGATGACACTCCTAATTTACATGTTATGCTTCTAGCAATCCCAAAAATGAAATGACATGGGTTCAAGATATTTTCCAAGGAACGCTCACAAACGAAACTAGATGCCTATGTTGTGACACGGTAAATTTTTGGTTAATAATATGCTTTCCTAGTTACTGTATATTTCCCTTGCATGATTCACACAACGGTTGCATTCTTCATTTATTCAATTCTTTTCTTAGGTCTCCAGTAAAGATGAGGACTTCCTCGACTTATCTGTTGATGTCGAGCAGAATGCTTCCATCACTCATTGCCTGCGAGTTTTCAGTGAAACTGAAACTCTGAAAGGGGACCAAGTTTGTTCATTTCTGTCAAACTATAAATAGCTCATTGTTACAGAAATATTTTTGTGAAATTTGCTCGTCAAAACAGGAAGCCCAGAAAAGAATGAGAATAAAGCGTCTTCCTCAGATGTTGGCATTACATTTGAAAAGGTACTTGAGAAGAGAATAGGCTTCTTAAAGCATTATCTTATTTCAGGTTTAAATACGTAGATCAATTAAGTAGGTACACAAAACTTTCTTATCGGGTGTTGTTCCCGCTGGAATTACGATTATTTAACGTTGTAAATGAATATAGGTGTAATGATTTTAAAGTTTTGTTTCGTATAGAGCGATGATGCGTCGAATGGGGATCGTTTATATGATCTTGTAGCTGCTGTGGTCCATTGTGGTGCGACACCTAATCGAGGGCATTATATCACTTTAGTCAAAAGTTCTTCTTTCTGGCTTCTTTTCGATGATGACATTGTTGATGTAAATTATCCAAGGCTAAATGTTCCTCAAAGCTCAATTTTAGAAAATGGACGTGTCATCAATGGAGGAGTTCTTTGGTCTTTCGGAAGGAGGAGTGCAGAAGAACTCGGAGTCAGCTTACATACTTTTTTACCAAGTAATGTCTCTGTTGATCCGCCCACCATACTCATACGATTCTTAATAGGCTCGAGATACTAATATTGGTGGAATTCGTCCGAGTGGCTCAGCTCATACTTCTATTTAACAAATGGTTCCGAGATGCGATATTTTTTAGTCGAAAACGGACATTCATCAGGGCGCCATGAACATCCATTGCTCACACGTGACTACTTCAAAAATCTAGGAATCTAATCATAAATCGGGTTTGCTAAGGTTGTATCGGTAAGATATGTCTCTCTCCAGTGAGTGTATAGATTGTATATAGAGTATATTTATATCAACCGCAATAAATTATTTGAATAACCGCATATAAATAGATCCCAAAACCCAGCTCCAGCTGATTCTCTACTGCTTGGTTGTGATGTAAGTATTAGGGAATTGTACTACAGATTCGCCGCTAGCTTCGGCAAGACCCAAGTATCCAGCGTTTGGTACAACATTATATCTTAAAAGGATATGATTAATCACTTTACTCAATGAGTTGTAGTACCTAAGTTTCAAGGTGACGTTTTGATGGTTCTTCAAGTGTTGTCCATCGTCAAGGAAATAGTACTTGCTTTGAGTTTTTCTCACATCCAGAACAACTCTTTCACTGCGAAGAACGACTTTGTCCCAAAGTACAACTTGATTCACAGCCTGAAGTGCAAAATTGCAGATTATAGAGGATAAAACGACTTATAAGCATTACATTTTGTTTTGTCTCATATTCGGCTACTAAGTATACAAAGACTTCCTTCACATTCCAATTGAAAACTTTGGTGAAGTCGACTTTAACAGTGAAATCAAGAAGACCCAAATCAGATTTTTCACTCTGGGAGGAGTAGTCTACTACAGACTTCCTAGAATGACGAATGTATACGTCAGAGAACAGTATGCAAGAACTCACACTCGAGGATTGTGGACGACGATTTCAACTTTGGTGGTATAGTCGAGCCAAACAGTCGAGAGGAAGCAAGCGAAAGTAACTCCTGCAAGAACCCAGAGGGTAAAAGCAAAGAGGTTGTTGGCGCGTGCATAGATATTATGCATCTTCCCCTGTAATCAAACATTAACTTTGAAACAAAAGAAGAAGGATATAGAGATAGATGAGGCGATCAAACACCTTGTTCTTGAACGAAAACAATTTCAAATATTTTTTATGATAAACGAGTTATTTCAGGCGAATATTTTTCATCTTTGTTGTACAAATGCAGATCTTTCCACCATTCCCGTAAGTATCCATTCTGTAAGAGAAGAAACCATGGAGTGAAGTCTGATGGTTCTGAAATTAGAAATAGAAAAACCAAAGATTCTGACAACACTCACTGTCTGAGAGCCATGAATACAAATCCTTCTCCGAAACACATCGCACATCACTAACTTCTTCAGGGTTAGGATTCAATCGGGATACATCGAAATTCCTCAACACGAGTACATAGTCCATCTCATGTTCTCCCCAAACTCCGTCTTTCATCTGAGCCTGTTTCAGGATATAGTGAGTACGGATAATAAGTATGTAATCCAAACCTTATATAAAAACCGTCCAACAGACGCTAAATCCTCTTCCCGTACACCCGTGATTCCTAGTTCATGGTTTAACTTCCTTATGGCAGCTCTGAATAATAAGGAGTCTTATATACATTGAGAACTATCTTCTACCTGGTGACACCGTTTACACCATTCATTTCTGAGTCATTAAACAGTGGATGACTACAGCAAGCATTGGTCCATAACGAAGGGAATGTTATCTACAAGAAGGTAAATGAATATTTCGTCTCCAATATACCTTAGAATCACTACGTTTCTGAAGAATAAGTTCGTTTTTTGGAGTAAAAGCAAATACACTGAACGCTCGATGAAGGACAACTGTAACAACAGAGGCAGTTGTAACTTCTACAAAAGGGGGAACCTTACGTTTAGAACCACAATGCGCATCGAGTTTTGAGACGGATCCAATTATGTTATCTTTTTCATCAACTTCTATGCAAGGTTCTTTCATATGTGTTAATTGAACATTATCGTATGCTACAGCCATATTATGCATACTTTGGCTCAGAACTGTCCGGACTTCCCTGAAAGGCTCGAGATAACGGAAACACAAGAACGACTCTTTACCTGCACAGTACTGCACTCCGAATCATGCAGCCTCAAGGAACAATGATGAGATAGAACAAGAAGCTAGGAGAACGAAATTCAATGGCTCTGTCCATACATTCATACATCATACAAAAACTTGGCAAAAATCTTTTATGATAATAAAACTGTGAAAATAAAAACTTTGTGGCTTAAGCATTAGTGTTTTTCGCACGATGAGCTGATACACAGGCTGGGGAACAGAGGTTGACATCAAGGTATCGAAACGGGACTTTAGGCAGATTTTCTCCGCACTTAAAGATGGACATTAGAATTTCCAGCATCCTTCTCTCCACAACTCACATTAACACATCGAGCAGTAACTGTGAGCTTGGCAAGCCGAGCTTCAGCAGCGAGAGCTCTTTTCTCTCTTTCTGACAAAGCTAGGAAGGCATCTCGAGCAGCCTCAAAAAGAAGATGTTAACTTATAAGATCTAATGCAATCGTTACCTTTTCTTCAGCCTCTTTCTTTTCCACTTCTTTTTTCTCTTTTAACTTTTCTTTTTGTTTCTGTTTTTTAGCTTTCTTCTTCGCTTCTTGCTCAGCAACTTGCTCTTCTGTCAGTTCGACAGGTTCAGGAATGAGTGTCCTACATATACAATGTAATAATAAAAAAGATCTTCTGCACACCTCTTCCAATCCCATTTCAAATTGGTTGTCTTGCGGAAATCAACGAAAATCTTCTTCATCGTTTTGTTTCCGGAAGCATAAGGTACTTTACCTTCAGCATTCTTCTTCATGGGATCACAACCATAATCTAGTAAACTCTGAACTTTCGAATTAGATACAAAAAAAGAATCTCCTCACTCTCAGAGAATTTTCAGCATTGAAGAATACAGCAACATGAAGGAATGTGAGCTCGTCTGAGTTGAAAGTTCTCTCGTTCAAGTAAGAAAGGATCTGAAATTCATAAAATGAGTGAAACTAGATCATATATCATCTGTATTTTTTGGAGAGATCCAATGCGCATGCTAACCCTCAAGTAATATCAAAACTAAAGAACTTACAGCTTCTTTACTGATACCAGAATTTTCTACGAGTTTTTCAAACTCTCCAGCAGCATTCTCTTTCACAGACGAATAAAGTTCGTGACGGAAGTCACCCGAAAGCTCTGGCCATCTATCTTCCTCTTTCTCGACAGGTTCAACAACTTTCAAATGGTTTGTCTTCTGTAAACAGTGATCGGTTAACAGAAGCCTGATACTCATTTCTAACTTTTGGTTGGGTAGGAGACTTGTCTCGTTTCTTCTTTCCCTCATCTTCCAAAACATCATGGAACGTTGGCTCCTTTTTTTTCTTCTGAAGACCTGTTCTCTTTTTGTTATTCTCCTTCAATCTTTGCATCTCTGCCAAGAATTCGTTCCTGAAACTCGAAAATAAAAATAAAATTAATGAAATTGTTACTTTGGTCCATGTTCGAAAACGGAAACGAGTTTTCTCCATGTCTCCTTTACTTCATCAAGACTCGGACGTTTAGTTGCAAACGGAATCGATCTATAGCAAAACAACTAATCAGCATAAATTGAAAACAAGAAAACCTTATGCGCTGATCTGCTTTATCAATCAAACCTTCACCATGGAATACTTTCTTGTTGAACGAAGCTACCCGTATGAATATATATGGAATTTCCAACAAGTCTGGTGCCCAAGACTTTAGAAGCTGCATTATATCTTGTTGAAGAGTTCTCTCATTATACCTGAGAAGAGGGTCACTCAGAAAACATAATGAATGAGAAGAGTTTTACCGTCTGAGGTTCGCTCCAGCACTATTCGCATGCCCATTTGCATTATCATTAGCCGATTGAGCACCTCCTTGTTTGGCACGAATAACATATCGTTGGAACGTTTTGTGTTTGATCATTTTGTCACTTGAAAAAAAATATATTGAAGTATTGAAACGTCAAGATTTACTCTTTAAAGATTCCAGCAGCGAAATGTCCTCCAGCCATGAGGAATATCGCACAATCTAAGGGATTCATGAATAAAGAACGATGAGGTAAAACATCCCCCTGATTAATTAGAACTCTGAACCGTTGCATGAGAAAACAAACATTGAAGCTAGTCACCTATAGCAACTGAAAACATTATCATCTTGTAAGAAGTACGCTCTAGAGGATGAGCTGATGAGCACCTCAGCGTCGTCCTCTTCCTCGTTTTGTTCGATATTATCTATCGCTACTGAATCCAGATCATTCTCATCGAAATCCTCTTCAGTGACAGGACTCAAACCCCTAACAGATCTTTTAATGTTATATCTGAAGACACTCGAACAGATTAAGGATTCATGGGAAAAATTACTTGTGCCAAGGACTCTGGTAATGAGCTACAATCTGAGAACGATCTGGGTCAAGGACGAATTGACAACTACCGCAAGTCTGAACTGCTGCTTCTGCAAAAAACAATAGGTGAAGTGATTTACAACCAACTAACAAACCAGCACATCCCTTAAAAGGATCGAATTCTTCGTCTTCATCAGCATCCGTGGCAGCATCGTCGTCAGGTGAGAAGAGCGGTCTAATTGGATTCAACCATCGTGTGTCGTGAAGTGAATGAACTATTTCCTATCAACTTTTTTATTATTAAGATAATCTGTATATATATAGTACAAGGAGTGTGGGTCGTGTTTTTCACGCACACACACACACACACTTCCACACACATAAATGCGAACTTAGGTGTTTAAGTGAATTCGGCTCATCACCAGTTTGCAAAATTATCCAATTATTATACAGCTTTAAAACTCGTGATATTTGAAGTAGAAATAGGGGGAGAGAGAGAAAGGGAGGGGATAGAGCCGCTGCTAGTTATACTAAGTATAAATAAATAAAAGAGATGCACATAAAGAGAAACAAGGCCTAATAAAGACTATCACATTATGAAACTATTTAATGAGTACTTCGAGGACGAATAGGATAATGGGTTACGGCTCCTGCTATCGCCTCTATCCATGCCTAAAATTTTTTGTTCCCACCAATGAAATACTCTTCAAAAGCTTAGCGTACCCGTAAATCTTCCTGATTGGCGGCGCATATACGGTATACTGAATGAGTTCCTTCAACCATGCGGCCATCCTGCTCTGTTTTACAGGCTTTTATACGGTCATCCGATAATGAAAAGATCTTAAATTGCACTGATGATGAAGAGAGAGAGTGAGACACTTACTTCGAACATATGGGGTCTGCTGCCGGTATCGACACGACGAATCCCTACATTCTGTAAAGGAATTATGCCACGTGGTTCACGATCAGTTGAGTTTTCGAAATAATAAAGACACTGTTCGCTTAAGACGAACCTATAAACGAAGAATTAAAAACGAGGTAAAGAAATGAAACCGACCATCGTTTTTTCCAAGCCAAGGGGCCTGCCATAAACTGTCCACTGCTCTGCTTATACAGCCAGCCTTCTCTGTAGAGGAAATAGAATAAAATACAAACTTAACTGAGAAACATACCTGTCTGCATTTAAATGAATTTCTGCAGAGCCAGTTTCATCTTGAGGCATAGCGAACTCGGCGCTTCGTAGAGAGTCATATATGGCAGTGAGCATGGGTATAGTGACCATTTTTTTTGTCAAATATTCCTGAAGATCACAACAATAGAGGAACTAGAACCATTTGGGAACTTACTTTACACATATCAATGTAACCCTCTAGAGTGATGCGGTCTTTAACATTAGGATTATACAGCAAGGTGTTTAACATTATAGAAGAAAATGCAATAGAATGGCATGCGTCCGCTGATTCAAAGGTTTGCGGATTAGAAGTAACGTACTTTAAAAGTAAAATATAACAAAATCTGTTGAAAGGCTAGACTAACCTTTCGTGAAAAACTGTCCATTATGCGATCAATTTTCTGGGCTTCGCCAGGTAGTCGAAAACTTTTCAAAAATAATCTGAAAACAGTTGGTTTGAACAGAATGAAGTTGGAACAGCTCTCACCTTATAGCATCGACCAAAAACAAATTTTGAAAATCAAAACATTTCACAAATTCTTCCAAAGCTCGAATTGGAAGCTCATCATGCAAACCAAGGTAATCGCCAATTGCGCCTTTAGAAAGTCCTTCAGTCTTAAATCCATTTGTTGGAAATACGAACGATGAGATAAATATTTACTTCGAATAGCCATTGAGCGATAGTTCGTTCGTCACTCAACAGCCCTCTATCAAGGAGATATTGGATACCATTAGCGGGATCTTTATTAAAACGTTTTCTGCCTAAGAAAAAGATTTTAAAAATGGAATTGCTGGAAACCTTACCATTGGCGACGACTTTCATTCGTGATTTGCCGCTTTCATCAACATAATACATGGATTCGAGTTCATTATCAACTTCTTTGAGCTGAACAACAACAAACCATTAGATAAACATCGTTAGAACTCACTTCATTTTTAATATGTTCGATTTCATCCAATAATTCCATTTTCCGTTTTCTTAAACCTCGGAGTTGTCCGCGGTCCAACTCAGTCATGTCTGACCGGTTGTAAACGCAATTAGGACGACTCATTTCAGATTTAATCACCACTACACAGCATATGTATTTTCTTAAAACATATTCGAATTTCAATTAAACATTATAAGCAATTAACAACAACGAAAATACAACACAATGGTAATTATATACAATATAGCCGAACATCAATGACGCTTTCAACACCGAGTGTGCGTCATCAAAGGCTGGCCCACAGAAGGTGCAAAGGCCAAACAGAGTAAATATGTAGATGGCGTATAGAATTTGTAGGGAAAACAATCAAATAAACAGTGTCTTAAGCCTATAGTCACTAGCAGCCTCTCTTAGTATACAATAATCGATATATTTTGCATGGACAGCCGAATTCAACTCTACACCCAAATTGGAAAACAGAAAGAAGAAAAGATTGTACTCACCTTTTTTGTTCGACCCATTAATTTCTCTGAAAAAAGTCCATTTGTGGGTACTGAAAGAATGGAGAAATATATGAACTAATGTAGCAAACGTATCATAAATGAAAGAAAAAACTTTGTTATTCCACTTTTATTTAGTAAAAAAAATACAAGAGATCCATTCGAAAGGAATTAGTAAGTACTCGTATTCACAATATTTAGGTTGAATCTTTTACAACTTTGAATTGTCCATTGTTGTATTCTAACAGATTCGCTTTGACTTTACGGAATAGGAAGGCAGTGACCGTTTCCAGACTCGGACACTGAAACAATAGCCGTTATTCAGATTTTAAAAAGAACACAACCTGTGAGCTTGGTGACCCGAAAAGCTTATACATGCGGTGAATTCTCTCTGCTTTTACATTATCGTTTTGAGCCTTAAGTTGCTGATGTAATGAGGATATTAACGAGAAAAATTACAATGAAGTTCTTTGTATACATCCAGTATACTTCTAAAGCATCTATGGCATCAGCAGCATCATCCAAAGCAGCTTCATCTTCATCTTCAGACTCATCACTCTGCTTTGTGCTATCCAGCTGAGTAGGCGCTGATATCAGTTTCCAAACTTCGCAAGTTCCCCCTCTCGGAAGTTCCTGCATTAGAGACAACGTTGAGTAAAGCCAAACAAGCTAATAGAACCTGGTTTAGTAATCCCTGAGAAGTCCACCATTCTAATCGTCTCTTGGCAACACTTTTTGAGATTTTCAGCTCTTCCGCCACATCAGCAGCAGCCCACTCTTCTAAAATTAAAAGAGTTATTGAGAATGCAACCGTTCTGTCCAGAATGATTTTGAGAAGCTGAATCAAAAACGAAACCTTTTATCAAGTATAGGTAAAGGACTGCAGCGTGATCATTGGAAACTACCTTCTCAACTGTAACTCCGCCAATTTCAAGGGTGACATCAGCAAAGCTAAACCAGGATGAATTGAAGGAATTTCATCTTTACTAACCCTCGAGCACGAAGCCAATTCAGCTTTCTTCCGGTCTTAGACTCCTTATACTTTCCTTCATAAAGATCTAACGATCTTTCTAGTTCTTCGGGCAATTTCTTTAAAAATAATTACAAAAGGTTCTACCAATACGCACTTACAGCGACATCCCCTTGTTCCGTGGTGGGCCAGAAATGAGAAGAAATGATACAGCTGTTGATAGGGACAGCCTTAATAATCGTCTGTGTTTGGGTATTGATCTGTTATTTCATACGACATTAGCAGCGGCGGCGGTATCAAAACGAATACTGTCTTCTACGTCTTTAAGCATGACTTCGCACTGTTGCAGTTCACCGTCATTGAATCGGAGCTTCAGAACATCAAGATATCTCTTCTCGAAAGTAGTCTGAATCCAACAGAAAAATCAAGATGCAAGAAAAATTCAAAACTGACATCTTTTCGTGTGTATGACATCAGTCTTTCAGCTAGTAACTTTCTATATTCTTTAACAAACAACTCTTTACTTCCATATACTGATATGAGCATGTTGAAAACATCAGCAGACTGACGGAAGCGACCACTTTGACCTAAACATCAATGAGATCCATCATTTTATATTATATTCTACCTAGCGGAGCATCAGGAGGATCAGGCTTCCATTCTTCCCAACCCGTGTTATCCATTGACTCAGGGAGGAACTCATCGTTCGTTCCAGCAAAAAACTCTTCGTCAAGAATCGTACCTTTTTTGGATATCTTCAAATTTGAAATTAAGATTGGTAATATTTCAAATGCTCACGAGTTGTTTTGATAGCTGATCCCGTTTCTCTGATGTTATATAATTGATGATTTTCTTCACAGTATCAGGCCGTGTTCTGTGATTTTTTGGTTTATTTTCGACTGTCAAAGAGAAAAACTCACTTCAAGTATTCTTTGATAACTGAGCACACTTTGTGCATGATTGAGCAGGATGGGTCTAATTCTTTCAAAGATTCTACACAGGAAGCATAACCATCTAACATGATAGTAGTATCCTCAGCTGTAACAGGGTTATAAACTCAGATATTTTCAATCGTGAACTTACCAACGTTCAACAGCTTTTCAGATACATCGTTTACAAGCCTATCGACGAGTCGCTCTCTCCCATAATCATTATTCTTTTCCATACACATTCGAAGAACATGTATGGTACCCACAGACTTTGGATAATCTGTTACTGCTAACCGGTAAATCTGCGAAGAACGAAATAGGATTCATAAGTAACTTAAATATTACTTTCTCAATTAAATAGTCGACTATGATCATTTCTGTTGTCAGAGGACTCTGAGTAGGAATTTGCCCAGATTCAGCATCTGGTTTGTTATTCACTTCAGGTACAGATTCTGTCCAAATTGCCATCAGATCAGCTACCTTAAAGAATTAGCTTTTCACTTGTGAACTTGAATATTTCTGTTTACCACATCTATGATTTCTTCACTAAGGCAACCAGTGCCTGTATACACGTAATCGATAAAAGCATACGTTATAGTATGATGAGCTCTCATGAAAGCTATATTCATCACACTACGTAGACCCATATTAGAAAACAAAGGACAAAGCCTACTGAAATTGAAGAGAGTTACAAGCTCTCAATCAAGGTACCCTACATGTTTTGAAGTATTTCTCTTTGAGTATCCAGATAAGCATTACTGAGATCCAACTTGTATTTCGAGGATTGACCAAGGCACTCATTTAGACTTCCGCAAAGACCTTCAAACGTCTTCATGTTCGGTCCTTCTGTTACAACAACTAGAAAGATCGAGGTTTACTCAAGAGTCCACAAACTTTGCATACGCTTCTTATAGAATATTCGAAAATTGAGAATGAAGAAAGGTGTGAACTTTTTTCCCAATGTGACTACCTCATTTTCTAAGAACAAGCAAAGCGGAACCAAAGCTCTTCCTTCCTCACAAGCTTTGGGAGAAGCCTTTAGATGGGAAAGAACCTGAAGACTTGCGAACTCAACACATGTCAAATAACCGAACGAACTTGACTCACGCTGTTAATGATCTTATGATACTCCTCCAAAAGACGGCCACAACCACCTATTCTTTTAAAATCATCAACACGAGCATTACATAAACTTAGGAGCCATCTTGTGACCATGGGTTTGAAACATTTTCCAACGAATAATCTAGTAATTTAATATTTAATTGAGTTATAAACAAGGCGATACTTGAATGTGTGTATAACCCATTCGTCATTGCTGTAGTGAGAAAACTGAGGTAAGGATTCATCAGGTAAGTTGTAATCAAATGGTAGATTTCGACGAGTCACGGGATCGAACAATACTATTGATCCTTTTCTCTCCTGATTAGTTCTATGCATATGGTTACAACTGAAAAATATAAAGCTGATTAAAATTTTGAAATTTGTTTGAATGTTTGATAAATACGCAACGTTTCGTTAATTCGGTCACGTTGCGTACAACTTTCAGCTGTTGCCATAAACCTCAGCGAGAGTTTGGACGTCAACCAAGAAGATTGTGGCAGATGAAGGAAGTTTATGAATAACACGAGCGATTACAGTGTTGTATTATTAGTTAATTTGATAGTTTCTATTAATCTTTTCTCATTACTCTGTCATTTATTTCATAATAGAGGGAGGTACTCAACAAACGGTTGATTGAGGTTACTGTATTCATCTTTTCTTTTTCTCTGTTCTCTGGTTTATCAACTAGCTCATATCAGTCGTCTTCACTTTGACAACAGGTGGAGTTCATTAAGTAATTGGAGTTCTGATTTGACGACGATATGATCTGCAGATTGCGTGTGCTACTGTACTGCAATAACTCAGTTTTTCTTTTATTTCCACCAATGTTAGGGGGGGGGGGGGGTGGACGAACATAATTGTTAGAAAGGATTCAACCCTCGCTCTCTTCGCGGAGTTCGATTTGCAGTTCTGGAAGTTTTTGAGTCTCAGGTCCTTGATAATGATTAGGTTCGTGTTTCCTTTGCTGAGTCTTAAGATTCATTAAACTGCATGAAAGACGTTTAGGGATCAGTTTCAAACACCGTCATTGTTAGATACAGGTAGTGTTGCATCAATATGAGCAGAGGTTCCCTGAATAAATTTGGAAGTTCAAGATGGAAGACCGAGTTTCTTTCTTTCTGCCCACATTCTGTTTTCCCTCCACAGAACCCTACTTCATGTATATTTTGAAACAATTTCACATTAACGAGTGGCATTCTGGAATAAACGTCCGAATTTCAATGTACATAAGCCAAGATGCAATATAATTTATGAAATGCCTTAGCTAGACATTGACAAACAGTTGTGACTGCAGTCAATCTTTCACTAGCTGTTCTTAATGAATTATGAAGCCATTTCATTCGCCGGAAAAGATATTTTATTTACTAAGAGTCAAGGTGTTATTTTGAAGGAAAATACTGTGACATAGAGTGATCCTTGTGTTACCTCACAACTTATGAAAGAATATTACATGAGCCGTAGAAAATGGATAAGAGATCAAGCGATAGCAAAGCATTTCGAGGTGAATTATTATGAGACATCCTTCTATGCGGAACAAAGGAATAGTTTATTGACGCAATACTTCTTCTTTGAAATTAGTACTTCAACTGTGTAGGTGTTATAGATATGTCACACTATCTCTCAGACTTTCTGAATGGGCTTCACGATGAGCAATAGAAACCTAACTCGCACAATAAAGGGAATATGAATATTCACACAGCTAGACTGAGAACTCGTAACGAAACATGCACAAAATCATTTTCCACGTGAATACGTGTAGAACGGCAAATCATTATTATTGAACTGAGGCATAGTTGGAAGCGGTCGTATGAAGTAGTAATGAAAGACGACAAATAATATTTCGAGGTAATTTCATTTCAAAATTCTATTTAGTCTTTTCAAAAGCATTGTCCGAAATGTGTTTATATTTTCTTTTTTTTAAATAACAATACAGTTTTGTGAGCTTCTGACCATCGTAAAATAGGAAAATGAAGTTTTCTTCACTCTGCGTCACTGATGGAAAAGAGCCAAGAGTAAAACACCCGTTGAAAAGGAGGCAGAATCGATGTTGTTCTCTGCATTCATTTGCCAAGCTTTCGATATTTGCCTCAGAGCAGATTATTACCCCAATCTAGAATACTTTAATAAGAGAATGCTTCTTGATCATCTTTTTTTTCTTTATCTTCATATTTCTGATGTTTCATTTATTAACTTACTTGTCCCAATTTGAAATCTAGTTCATACCAGGTTTTCCCTTTTCCAGGACATGACTTACCTGCTAATCAATCATTTTATTTTTTTTTTCAGACTGCGGAAGAAGTTATTTTAAGTTTCTATCCTCTAGTTCCAAATGACAAAATGATTTCAACATGCGATCAGCTGAAGCAAATCATTCTTCACAGTAACTGCAGCTAATGAATTGAAAGGTTCGTGCGTGTTTTTTTTCCTTCTTCTTCTCCTCATTCTTCCTTTTTTTGGAGGGAAACATTTTCTTCCTAAATGCTGTGCAGTTTTCATATAAACTGCGACTTTATTGTTTATTATTTCTTAAGATGTTGCTTGTATGCTTTAAGCTTGGGAATAGTATTTGGACAGATGTCTGAGCAAGCTTTCTCTCTCACACCTGCAGCACTGTACCATTCTATTCAATCCTTGTAATTAATTTCGTGATTCATTGAATGAGCTCTTAATTTGAGATTTCTCGTAAATGATCATCGACTTTAATTTCTTTTTTTTTCTTTTGTGTGTTTGTTCTTTTTCTCGAAAATGGTATCCTATTGAATGAGCCCTCAAGCCATAAGCTCTAAGTATCGCACTCTTGATGGTTTTTTGGATCAATTGACGCGTATTCGTTAGTGATCAGTCAAGTATCGAAAACTCTTTTTTATCACATTCACACCTTTCTGACCTGCTTAGTTGACGAAAAGCTTATGAATACCTAAATGCTCGTTGACTTTTTGTATTTTCTAACATTTGGCTCTTATCAGCCTTATACTTGACCTTTAATTCTCTTTCTTCTCCACTTTTTTTTTGAATTCTCCAAATCATTCAGACGAGCAGAGTGTTTCATACTCCATCCTTTCCGTTTTTAATTTAATATATTATTTAAATCTTGACCTTCTAATCGTTTATGGACCTCTTTATGACAATTTTCTATTGAGCAACGTGCTAGGCCACCCACTAGTCATGTCCACCCATTTTCCGGCACTTTCACATATGGCATTAATAGTCTGATCTTGACAAGTGTTGTCGGCTTTGTTTTGGTCTTATTCTTCTTCTTCTTTGAGCAAAAAAAGCTGACAAAGTGACTTCCTACTCCTCTAGTGGTCTTCTACTTTAACGTTCATGCTCATTGGTTATTCATGGGGCCACGATATCCACTCGTACCATATGTGAAAGAGGCTTTCATCGTCAATATTGTTAGCTGTTACTAGCTTGATCACGTCAAATCAGCATAGTTAATAGAATTATTTCCTTCTCTTTCTCATTCTCATGATCTTTACCCTGTTTGAAGACTAATTGAGAAAGTCTCTCATTGTTTTCAGCTTATATATTGCTGTTGAAGTACTTAAAAGGAAATAGTCACAAATGTGTTAGCCTCTCATGATATATCATCTTCTTCAAGTCATTTCCAATTCACATCATTTCAAATCTTATAAACATAGCTGATGCGATTGTACTCTTGTATCTCATTCATCTGCATTTACCTGTTTCAATTGATAATCTTCAATTCATTTTGCGCATTTATGATTTGCGATAGATTATATATCGGTTATTGCGTTAGAATATTCACTTTCTATTCATCTTCTGACCTGTCCATATATGTTATCCTTATCATTTAAAATTTGAGACACTTTCTGTCCATATTAGGACATTCTCACACTTTCTGTTCTATTTCAGTCATCAAGTGTACGACTAACGTGTATCTCTCTGTGTGTGTGTTGGTGTTGGTGTTTGTGAGTGTGTGGAGTGTACGCATGAATTTTCGTACAAACGATATGTTTTTGAAAACTGTTTCATATGCACCTGATCAGTTTACAAAGGTGAAGCACATCTGTTGTTTATGAGCTTTATCCATTCAATACATGATCATATCAACTTTCAATGTGATTCTCACAATCTATCTCTGAATTCGTTTCATCTGATTGGCTTGACTAATCATGTTTCACATAGAATGTCATTGTTCAATACATTAGTAAAGTACTATTATGGCATCATCATAAACCATAGGATTCAGACCATGCATATAGGCATGGATGGTCATTCTAATAACAATCATATCCAAGGTCTCATTGAAAACTCAATTGGTTCTCATGTTATAGAATCATATGCATGTTCATAATAGAGATGAGTTTTGCAATGTCATTGCATAGTTTATAATTAGATAGTTATATGCATATCTTCTATAGTTTTATATATATTTTTACATTTATGTTGAAGATTGACAATGCCCATAACTAGGTATAATAAATGAGATCTTCGCTGTTCAATGATATGTTTGTACTTCTGTCTGTCTGTCATTTACTCCCTCCTTATATATCCTGTTTGTTCTCAATATCATTAACCCTATGCCTTGCATAGCTGACAGCGCTCTAGACGGCTCACCAACTATGTCAAAATGTCTCATAGTTAGCTCAATATGAAAACTTCAAGACTTCATTTTTTCTCGCTACGTCCTTAGCATTCATCAACACACATCTTTTTCGAATGAAGAAGGAGAAGAAATGAATTTTTTTTCTTCCTATATGCTTTCTCTATCTTTACCTTGCTGTACGGCAAGATGTGAAAGAAAAAAAAAATCATTTATTTCTTTTTTATAGTATAGTGCTACTGATAAAGAAGCTACTGACACATTGACCTTTAGGATTCAATCTGTTCTAGTTTTAAGCTGAGGCGTTTTGAGTTGCGGTAGACGCCTATGCTGTAATTCTGTTTACATACTATAACTTCGTGCTCTATCTTCTACGTCGAAACTATGAGTGTGTTGTCTACCACTTGTGGTCATAATGCAATCTGCTCAGCAGATTTGTTTCAGTTTAATTTGTTTTTCTCATCTCAAGAACTGTTGCCTTCTGCTGTGCATGATGATCTCTTGATCAATATTATTTGTTTTTTCGTTTTTTTTTTCAAATTTCTTTTTCACTTTCAATCTTGAAGATCATCATGGGCATCTCACTGACAACCGGTGACATCTTCACTAGACGTTTTGCCTGCATTCAGAAAGAAAGCCAGGCCATGACCTCGTTTGTTGTCGGTAACAGTCGTTGAACATAGCACACGGCACTTAAACCCAAATGAACTATCGTTCTTTTTCACACACTAGCCCATATTCTTTTCCATTTTATGTTCGTTCGGAAGCAATTTGCAGCTGGAGAGCAACGAGTTCCTCTATAGCTCACTGATTTTGTCAGCTAGCGCCACTATCCAATGTCGTTCTTTCATGTATACTTCGTTGTCGTCGTCTTCTTTTTTTTTTCTCATTTTCATTAACAAAAAGGAAGTACTTCCATTATTTTGATTCCGTCGACCTAGTTCTGACCTCTTCAGTCGTTTTTCCTCCAATCAAATATGTCTTTGCGAAACTAAAATTCAAACAGTACAACATTAGGATGAAGACGTTTAGATGGCAACAACATGTTGACAAACGATCGCAACTAAATTATCTCTCTTTGCTAAAATTTGATTACTGTCCTTTTAAGGCTCAGCTTGAAATCCTTTTATTGCGTTGTTCTGTCTGAGCAATTACCATCATTGTAAGACTGATTGGACCGATTTTCTAATTTAGCTTTCAAGTTGATTGGTACCTTTAGCATATAGCTTCTAGCTTCCTCTACCGAAATCATTATCATAAATGCATATATTTTAATTAAATGTGTCTCATTATACATCATTTTGAAGAAGATTACCTTGTTTGATAAGTGTGTCATGTTGGTTGAAAGTGACATGATCGTCATCAGCAAGACTACTGGCCTAGCACAGTTTATGACGATGAGCCTGCTAGATAAGGCGGGATAAAAAAAATTTTCTTTCATTTTTCTTCTATTGATTCACTCATACCGTTGTTGCTCTAGTTATATCTCATGCAATGTCTATCTACATCTCATTTATTTAGCTTTTGGCTTTAAGCTTTTGAATTCTTATATTTCAATTGAAATCTTGGTCTGTTCACCTCCTCGTCTTCTGTTTCTCGCAGTTCGTAACACTTGAGAGCTGCAGTCATTTCAATTATAGTTGAATGCACGTGTTATTCATTTGTATGTTTTCTCTCGTGTATCTTAGTTTCATCCCAAGTATTGCCTCGAGAAATGAGCAATGTTCTTATGCTCATATTCCTCTGGTACTATTGAAACGAAATTGAAGATGAAAACTGTAAGCTTAGCTCATTTTTTTTCTCGCCATGTTTTTATATTATTCGTATTTTTAGTGCATGTACTTGCCTCCTCCATATATCTCATTCCCTCTCTCTCTCACTATTTCACAACCGTCTTGTATGTCATTCAGACATTGTAATTGAGTGATGTCTACAGTCTGTATGGTTTGGAGAGGCTGATCATTCCTTGAAGCTGTAATCCACCCTCTTCTCACTATTTTTCCGTAAAAATTCCTTTTCTCCTCACTCATATACACACACTCTCTCTCTATCTCTGTGTGCGTATTCTTCTGACTACTGAGACTTATTATGTGCTGATTTTTGACTTGCTTTCTGACCCTCACTATATGATATATTATGCCCGGAGGATATGCAATGATGTAGCATTTTTGGATAGCTGCTTCATCTCTCTTCTTCTTCATCTTCTGAGCAATTGCATTGACATATCCTCTAGCAATTTGTATTCATTTCCATAATGATTAATTCTTGAACTTTAAAACAATCTTGTATTTCCTCTTGGTCATACATCAGATTAATTCTCTGAGAACATTTTCTTTTTTTTTCTCTTCTCTTCTTGTTATGTTTGCTTACTGTCCTCATTTTTAAAGCTTTCGTTTTTCAGTTGGGAATGAAGAGCGAACGGTAAAAGTTGGCGATGAAACCACGGATAAAATGGTTTCAGCTCTTGCTGTTCCCTAGCATCATATCCTTATTTTCTGTTCAATGTTTACCATGTTCATATAAGGTAAGATTGCTTTTCATGTTTCATTCTAATTCATGTTATGAGTAGTATATGTGTGTATGGGTGTATGTGTGTGCTCTTGAAGGATACGTCAACTACATTTTAACATTTGAAAGTATGAAAGTGAAAGCAAGTGTTAATCTCTTTTGTAAACAACGAATATCGGGTTACTAACTGTTCAACCGATTAACGATGAACTCATTAAGTTATTTCTATTTGAGGCACATTAACTCAACCGTATAACTATTGAGATATAGAGGCTGTTGTCTCTCTTATGTTACCGATATTTGACATTTCATTCGTCCATTACAGGCTCCAAGAGCAGAAAATATTATTTTGAAAGTTCCGTTGGGTAATGAACTAAATGAAGATGATGAGTTCGGGTCGTCATTTCGTTCACGAAGATCAGCCGATGACATATTCCTGCCACTACGTATAAGGCTTCATTTTGATGATTCTATTCGTAATTTGACTGAAGATAAGCAGTTATATGTTAATGTAAGTTAATCACTTCATTCTTCGTCAGTTATATACTTCACAGAGTTCATTATTGCCTGAAGCCGCGGGATTTTGGGAAAGAGCTTTACGGGTGAAACGAACTTCTGATGCTCCGATTCGTTTGAGACGGTATTATTCTCATCTCTTTTGTGGTTTTGGTCATCTTAGTCTTTTGCAGAAAGTGCATATCATCTTTCTATTATTATCGCAAAGACAAACGAGCTTTAGCCTGTGATATAGGTTGTCGGGATATAACCAAATGTGGAGAAGCTGTCATACCTCACGATCATCTTCTGGTATAGCGACACCAATAGTGTTAAATATGAAATGCTATTCTAGGACTGCTCCTATTGCACTTCATCAGATGATTGTTTCAATAGCGGCGATGTGGGAACAGGGATAAGAGAAGCTGACTTCGTATTGTATGTCACAGCCATCGCTACTCAACGGTCCGTTTTTTTCTCCTTTTGAAAATCTTTTTACTGTTCTTGTTTTTATAGATGCGACATGCCAGACACTCTGGCTTATGCTGCACACTGTCAACAAGAAGCTGAACTAGATAGGTATTTACTTAACATTTGAACTTATTGTGTTAATGCTTCAATTGGAATTTCAGACCAATTGCTGGACATGTCAACCTCTGTCCACAAGCTATTTCCACACACAAACATGACAGAGAAATACTTGTTTCTACTGTGAAGCACGAATTGCTACATGCACTTGGTTTCTCTGTCGGCCTGTTTGCATTCTTCCGGGATGAGTATGGTAAACCGAGAACCAAAAGGTTGATTTCTATTCTCTTCTAGTTAACTTCTGATATATTTAATTTCAGAAATAGTTATGGGAAGCCATTAACTCTCAATAAGGAAAAGGGTATATACCTTTGGGATTCTAATACTATCGATACCATCCTCCGATTAGATTGGTGGACAGGAAAAGGAAAGGTAATCATATCAGGAAAAGAATATGATGAAGAGCTGATACTCTTAGACCGTTCATCCTGTACGAATGATGGTCACACCAAAAGTTCGCGAAGAAGCACGGAAACATTTTGGTTGTCCGACATTAGAAGGAGCTGAGTTAGAAAACCAAGGAGGCGATGGAACAGCTCTGACTCATTGGGAGAAGCGCGTTTTTGAGGTTCGTATTTCTTTCTTCTAATCGGATCATTCATCTCACTGTAGAACGAAGCAATGACTGGTACTCATACACAGAATCCTGTCTATTCTCGTCTTACGTTAGCATTACTGGAAGACAGTGGTTGGTATAAGCCAAACTATGAGTATGTTCCGTATAATTATAAAAACCTTCTTACGATAATTCTTGTAGGGTTGCGGAGGAACTACATTGGGGTCGTAATCTAGGATGTTCTTTTGTGCAAAAAAGTTGCGGAGAATGGATTCATCGCAAAAGAAAACAGTTCGTTTATTTTCTTCTTCTCTGATCTTCTGATCTACTAATAACAGGGGTAAACTTCCTTTTCCCTATTGCGATGAAATAAAACATGATGGTACGAAGTCATTAGCTGTCACAAGGTATTTCCTATTCTCGTCAATGAATTACATGTTATAATAATTGAAGATGCACTTCACAACGGGATTCTCTCTCTCTCTGTAACTTGATTCCATACAAACAGCCTCTTCCTCGACAGGTATATATCACTCAAGTTTACAAATAACATTCTCACTTAATAGTTTCGTCATTTTTCACAACTTGATGGAATTTCTGCTGAGGGTCTGCAGTATTACGGAGGTGCCGTAGAGTTAGCAGATTTCTGTCCGTATTCACAAGAATTCGAATGGAAGATGATCAACTCTTCAATTCGAAGAGATTCAAGATGTGAGCTAGATGGCAATAATCGGAACGGAGAAGACATTCTAGAAGTATACACACATGTTCTTCTATATTCGCCTATTTATAACTTGTAGGTGTATGGAAGCTCTTCTCGTTGTTTCGATTTTGTATCGCCTTGGACAGAACGAAAATGCGGCCGTTTAAGAACTTTGACTCATTATATGGCAGGGTGTTATGAGGTTCTTACTCATCCAACTTACAATTCTAATCTGATTTCCTTTCCAGCATGTTTGTGAGAACAATCGTCTGTACATTGGTACGCATAACTCAACTCTCTATCCTTGCTACTTTGATGGTCAGAAAGTTCATATTCATCGAGTAAGCTTTTCAAACCATCGGATACAAGTCATGAAATGAATTTTTCAGATAACAGAAGGTTGGCTCAGAGAGGGTGTCATCATTTGTCCTCCCTGTCAAGATTTCTGTAATAATTGCCAAGCAATGCCAGAAAACGATGATTACATAGGTAAGATATCTTTCATCATAATCACATCAATACACTGAACGCCTTTAGGTGATCCTGAATTAGACGAACCGTGTAGTGCTACTTTGATATCTGTAATTACTTCTTTAACATTCGCAGTTCTAACTTGCCTGATATTATCATAATATCTGTGATACGTCTGATTGAATGTCTCTCACTATAGTCATATTATGACACTCTCTCAAATCTTATATTTCCGGTGCTGTTGTCATCCATGTGATATTTATTTATCAGAAGTTATCTTCGCTATATGTTCTTTCCTATATTTTTTCATACTTACGGGTCATTTGATGACAAAAAATAGTAAATTTTTTTCTTTTTGATGTTTTATTTTCTTCGAAAAGGGATACAACCGTTCCATACTACCTACAACTTCAAATGAAAGATTAAAATCAGTCCACGTGTATACGTATGCTAATTAGCAGAGTTCATAAATGATACTTCTGAATCTTGAGGGTTAGATTATAGATCCTTCTCCAAAGCCTATAAAACTGGCTGTCGTACGTTAACACTAATATTCTAAAATACAAAAGGAGATGCTTTGGATTGTCGCGAAGTGTAAATTGCTCTAGCTCGAACCCAAAACGAAACTTTCATCAAATCAGTATTCTCTATTCTTCCCTTCTACCATTCGAAAATGGAGTTCGTCTGTCTGATGAGCAACCACTGTAATATATTTTTATGTTACGATTAATGGTCTACTGCTTGAATCTTATTCAACCAACTTTTAGAAGCAAAAAAGGTTTATTAACAGACGTTTTTGATAACAAAAGAGAGACACGTGACATATACGTGGAACATTAAGATAACACGGTTTAGCTTTAGTGATTACAAGTGAGATATATCTAGTATGCTTTAGTTGGAGTTGGTTTGCTATCTCGTGACGTAAGAATGTTTTTTGAGCTCCCGTATCGATTAGTGCTGTAAATCAAGTATGTTGTGAAACAGTTGTACGTAGTTACAAACTTACTTTCATCAGCCGGGATGGATCTTGTTTATCCATGGAAGTGAACGTGTTGGTGTTCGTACGTAGGTTGTCTGCTGTACGGCGTCCATTCGTGGGATGAGCGTGATGTCTATGCGTGAAATTGTTGAACATAAGGGGATTCCTTGGAGAGTGTAATACAACTGGTTGCATCTTAACGTTAGTTTTCTTATAGTTGTATAAGCATAACATGACGTTGTGATCATCTCCACATCGTGTGCATCTCGGTTCCCTGCATGATCGAGATCTGTGATCTTCTTTGAAACAGATCCAACACGCTCTTTTCTTTTTGAGCATCATTACTGCCCTCTTACTATGGGGAGTTGGGTAAATGTTACACGAGTTGTTGTCGTGATCTTCCTGGCAGAAGAAACACGAAGGTGAAGTCTGATTGTCTGTGTATGTGTTTCTAGGTTTGCGTTGGTTGCTCCTATTAAACGTATCTTGAAAGAGATATGTATGTGGTTGTAAGCATGGACAGGACGCACGAACGCTAGCGTTAGACTCGTCGGAGTCTTCGTCGAAGTGTTGAATGTTTTGAGTAGAAATCTCAACAGTTAAGTTGTTATCTATTTTTTCCATAACTTCATCTAGAGAGAATCTCTTATCATTTCTCGCTTCTTCCAGAAAAATGGGAGTGAGGTATTTTCTGGGAAAATGCTTCAGAATCGCGTTGCGCGTAAACACAAATTGCATGTCGGGTTCGTCTGATAGGATCATACGCATATTGCATAAATATGCTAAGAGATCTTCAGGGGATCCTGATGTGGGTTCTGCCAGTAACAACTTATCTCTCGCGTAGTCTTTGGCTAACTGGCTTCCGTATATAGAGTTAAGAAGTTGAATAGCTTTGTCGTAGCTATCGTTGTGGGGAGGTAGTAAATTCACGAATGTTAATGGATCGCCAGAGAGGTATGCTTTGAAATAAATGAATTTAAGCAGCGGCGAGATGAGCGTGTTGGAATGGAAATTCGCTTCAAAGGAGTTGATAAACTCATCGTATTTCAAGGGGTCACCGTGGAATTTGGTGATTTGTATACCGGGGTTAGTTATGGCATTCTCACGTATCGTGTGATGATTTGAGACAAGGTGAGAGGGTGTCTGTGTATCGCCGCGTGGACTTAAGTGTGTATCATGACGATACATGACAGTATTGCTTTCAAGAGAGAGATTTGAGATGGATGAAGGTATATCGTAAATCGAGTATCTCGCTTCCATGAGGCTGGTATTGATCCCTTCCTCTTCTTTGAATCTTTCATAGTCATCTACTGCCTCGGACACTATGTCGTCGTCGTGTTCTAACCCAAACTCGGTCCATATACCTAATATGAACTTTTCGTCTTTCTCTTCGAAATTCTTAACTAGATTCGCAAGAGATGTGCGTTTCGCATGATCCGAGGAAGTGGGTGTCCGAATAGCTTCGAACATGTCATTGATAGCTTTAATTTCGGCTCTAAGCGTCGCTTTGTAATCATTGAGTTTAGTGGTTATGGAACTGGGGAGCGTTATCCTTCCAGCTTCGAGGCGTGTGTCGTTTGCACATTCGTCCTCGGTATTCGGTTCGACTTCGTTGATCATTGCCGGGGAGCCTGTAATATAAAGTTATACTACGTTTGATGATAATTTTAGTTGAATAAGATTCAACCGACTGTTAGAAGCAAAAGTTTATTAACTGGCGTTTTTGATAGCAGAAGAGACACGAGACTCATACGTGGGACATTAGCATAACATGATTTAGCATATGAGAATTAGCATGAATTTGAACTGACTAAGGTTTTTTACGTTAATTACAACAACTACTCAAAGCTAGTATTTCATAACCACCCATCTCTTTCTTTCAACCGATTGCCGCAACCAAGACTGTTGCTGAAAATGCTATGACGCTTGAAACGCTCGAGAAGTATCCACAAGTTTTAGGACCCTATCCTATTCACAACTCCGCTCATAGCCCAAATTATGATAAATTCAGCCGGCCTCATAACCTGGACGTTTTGTTTATTTTTTGCTCTCTCATACCACTATTCATTGATGCAACTTCTGATTGGCTTGGCTCAGAAGTCGTAAACAGCGATTTTTCAAGTTTATCCTTGTTTGCTTTCAGCATTTCTAAACAGAACAACATTTTAAACAAACATTAGAATGAATGTAAATTATCGAAAATCAAATAGAAGAGACTCAACATGGAGTTTCTTAGGTGTGCAACTGATCAAGCAATGAACCTGATGACTTGTGGTCTGTGTGACAAAAGCTTTTCCGCTGAAGATTTCGAAACCTTCCTCAGAAAGTTCGCGCCAAAACTTTTCGTCTAGGTGAAGCAGGTTGAGCGGTTGTTATCCGATATACCTGAGTCTACAGCTTGTTATCTTTGGCAATGTATATGAACATCACTATGTTTATTCTCTTTGTTATGGAAACATTTTTGAGATTTATTGAATCATTCATATCAACGTCCATGAACAATTTCTGTCATGGATGTTCTCCAGATAAGATAGCGATAAGCGAAGTTCCTTATAAGAGGTCTAGTCTAAATATTTTTCTCTCTTTTTTTGCTGTCTGAGTGACAGACTATGTTATCATACTTTACTTCTTATTTTGTATGTCTGTGTTCATTAAATCATTAAGAATTCATATTCTTTTAAGGTTTCTCAGTTTGAAGCATGAAACTGATCATCGAAGATGATGCTGATCAGGCTTCCACCTTTGCCGCTCGATATGTGATGAAGAAAATTAATGAATATGGCTGTAACGAGAACCGTCATTTCGTTTTGGGCTTACCCACAGGTAACTTTCACAGACATTTCACCACAACTGAATTACCTTTTCCGGATCAACACCTCTTCTTATGTATAAGAAACTGATCGAATACTATAATGAAGGACTTGTTTCTTTCAAATATGTGATCACATTCAATATGGACGAGTATGTAGGTTCGTTTTTCTATTTATCGTCTTTCATTGAGTGATTTCTTAGGACTACCTGAAGATCATCCAGAGTCATACCACTCGTTCATGATCAACAACTTCTTCCGGTTTATCGATATTCACCCGAAGAATGCTCATATTCTAAATGGAAATGCTCCTGATTTGACGGAAGAATGTAACAAGTTTGAAGAGAGAATAGTTGAGTGTGGAGGGATCAACCTCTTCGTTGGAGGTACTTCAAAACGTTTTGTGTTTGTGATCAAAGATCGTGTTAGGTATTGGACCAGACGGCCACATAGCTTTCAATGAGCCAGGAAGTTCTTTGGCATCTCGTACAAGAATCAAAACTTTGAATGCTGATACCATACAGGTTTTCTTTGCATTTATCTAACTCATCTAGCATATTTCTTTAGGCAAACGCCCGATTCTTCGGAGGAGATGTCAAGAAGGTGCCAACACAAGCTCTCACAGTTGGTGTACAGACTGTCCTGGATGCTAAAGAAGTAATGATCCTCATATTCGGTGCTCACAAAGCATTTGCTCTGCATAAGGTTTTGAATTGATAGATTTCTGCTGTATAACTTTGCTTTTGAAGGCAATCGAATGTGGAATCAGTCATATGTGGACAGTAAGCGCTTTCCAACAACATCCTCAAGCGATGTTCATCGCAGATGAAGACGCGACATTAGAATTGAAGGTTTTCTCTCATAATTAAGTGTTTCAAACTTTATATTAATATTCAGGTAAAAACTGTCAAATATTTTAAAGGAATTATGGATCATCATAGAAAACTCGTGCTTTGAAAGGGTCTCATGTTTGTTCGGACTTTAACACCTTGCCCCATCCTTTCATATTCCTTCTCAAGTTTTGAATCTTGTAGTTAAGTGTCTGAATAAGTTTTATAAGTCGTTTTATGAGAATAAAGTTCAACTTACAGCGTTAGTTTTCACGTGTGATTCCATCTCGTTCATTATTTCCGATATTTTCTTGTTGCTAAGATAGCTTTTCATCTGAACAACGTATTGAATTGGTCTTCATCTACTACTTACCTGTTGTTGCTGAGCTTCTGTGTAGTTCAGCATGTGAGCTAGAGTTTTCATGAGTTTTTCTCTCTTCTTGTGCAAACCATTTAGTTTATAAACAACGCCTTTGTACTGTTCTTGTTGTTCGTTGGGGAACTGAGAGAATATTGTTCAAACCAATAAGAAGCCCTTACCTCACCAGCCATTCCTCGGAGTACCTTTCTCAACGTTTTTGGTTTTACTGGACTTTCTAGAACAGCTGAAAACTATTCAACAAGATGTAGACTGATTGCTTTCGGAATTACGAGTTTGACAACTTGTGGTTCTGCTTGTAATCCCTTCCTCTCAAGCAGATTGTTAACAGTTTCACCAACACCTACAAAATGGGTTTGCTTTGAGAGACTAGCGACATCCTCTGCGTCAGCGATTCTTTGAAGTGTACCACTGCTGCCGCCGCTTAGTAGAGTTCCTGAGGACAGGATATACAAAATGAAAATGAAAGAACAGAAATGCCTTTTGAAAGTGACTCTCCACATGTTTCAACGAATAATAGGAAAAAGAAAAAGATAATGATCATTTCCTCTGATGAAAAAGGTGGAAATGAACATTCAATGGTTGGCAATGGCTGTTATAACCGTTTCATCGGCTAATAATCCTTCTAATTTAAATCTGATGAAAATCTAAAACAACTACCATGAACTATTGCTCTTTTCACACCTTGATTTATCTCGCTTGCCATTCCGGTTTCAAACAACCAATATTATGTTCACACACGTGTATCTAGTATGATCTCTGATGTGTACGTTATTCATTGTACGTGGATTCCGTACGTGTCCATTCACGCTTATTCAGTCTTATGCCAAATGTTCATTTTACATGTCTTCGATGGGTTAAACGGTTGTGTTCTTGAAAGAAAGTGAGAGTTCCATTCGAGATAATGTATCCGTAATGGATGAGATCATGGAGAGGGATTTTCCATCATATCATATGAGGTGATATGATCAGACAAGTGTGATCTAGGTAGGATGAAGAAGATAAAGATTCATTGTTTCATCAAGAAAATCAAACTGGATTGTTTGCTTTTCGTTTTAAAAGTGCGTTCTAGGAAGTACAGTAATAATAATCTTCATATTGTCCCGAATATGAGAACTAGGGAAAAACGTTTATGATTGACGAACAGAACTCTTCTGTTCTCGAAATATTGAACTCAAACTGTGCCCAATGTACAAAACAAGTGTTTGAACTCGGTCAGCTCAGAGGAAGTATAATACTTTTTTCGGTGTATACACAAACACTCGCGGTGCCACAGCAATGGCTGTTACATACAGATTTGAAAAACGTAATTGAAAAGTTCATTTTGAGAGTGAGAAAACCTATGGTTTTTGTGGGAAATTCCCCATAAACAACCTAACGGTTTGTGAGCAGCGGCGGGTTGGGGCCAATGTTTTGTTGAAATGACTTGCGGCTGCTTGTTTGCAGAATATCATTTTTCTAACAAATAATAATTCCGCAACAATCAAGTTTATTCTGTTTCAATTCTTTTAAATAGTTATTGCAATAGTTCATTATTTTAATAATCATAAACATATATATGATGATGCTGAAGAAGACAATATTGAGGAAGTTTCATGGCCATTGACGTCGGTTGAGAAATGGCAGAGATCCTCAGCCTTGCGTACATCACGTGGGAAAAAGACGGCCAATTTAAAAAGTTTTCAAAAAGGTTTCGACTTTTCTACAACTTTTGGTGTGAAAGTAGGGTATTACAGCAGTGAATGGTTGAGTATATAAAATAATCAATATGTTAAGCATACCAAAGTGTCAATGCTCTATTCTCGTACTGATATAAGCACGTTGAAAATACTTGATTTTTGACTCGTAATTTCTTATTTTTTGAGTAATTCGTCAATTTGCTCCTTCAATTGCAGACCGTCATACGATCAATCATGCCGTCTGAATGGCACGAACGATCTTTTTTCCTCGAAGTGAAACCACGTACAGAGCTTGCATCTCTTTTTGTTGATTGCCCACCTAATGGAGATGGTGAAGAGAAAGAGTAAGTTCACTTTAGTTACTACAATTGAGTTTGCTGTTTCAGGAACAATTGCTTGGATATGGTCAGAGTTAGTGAGAACTCTGTTGAGCTTGGTATACCACCATCGATTGCTGAACAAATCCCGTCATTCACAGGTTTGCTATAATGTACTCTATGAAGCGGAAATCCAAAGTTTCAGTAACTCCTCAGTTGTATTCTGCGAAAATTTCGGGTTTGTATCTCGCCCCAGATTCAGTGTGTTCCCCAACTTGGGCTGATAACAAACGCTTGTTTATGTGTAAAGTTCGTGCTGCAAGAGATTGTGATCAACCTTTAGGTGAGAGCTTCTACCTGAGATATTTTAACTGAACTTATATAGTCCCCAAGCAATTCCACCGTCTTGCAAAGGAGATAAGCCCTATCGAACCTATTGAGACATACATTAATAGTAATCAAGACAAGCCAATTCAAATAAACTGCAATCAATGTAATGTCACTCTTCTCAGTGAACACCAAGGGTTTGTGGTTGTGTATGTTAGCTACTCAGGCATAGTAATTCAGGAACATTAGCATGGGTTGTCTTCCTTGCGACGATTGGTTAGAAACTACTCCATCTGTTGACTATTTTTGTAGAGATACTTGCGGTGCTGGATGTGATCCCAATAGGTTAGACAATCTAGATAATCTTTAATTGTTAGCTTGATAATTTTTTTCAAGACATGGACATCATAGGAATGGAATTGAAAGTGAAGGAGCTCATACGGATTGGTTACCAACTCCTTCCAAGATTATGATCAGTCATTCCTACATAGTTCTGCACAGAGATGTGAGTAGTTGTAGTTTTTTTTTGGATTGATTCATTGAAACACATATGAATGCTGCTTCTTGTTGATCTATCTAACTTCGATTCTTCAGATATGCCCTGACAAAGTTTTCGTAGAAGATAAGCACGCTTTATGTGCTGCTTGTCATGGCGAGTTGGGATTCATGGTTCCAAGTTTGTTCATTAGATTTTCCTATGTACAATAAGTGTTTCAGATAAAAATAGTTTGATTATGCTTCATCACTCAACATCCAACTTGATTGTAAACGGAAAACCTTTCTTAGCTGAGAGGTAATCGTTGTTTCAAATCCTCATATTTATAGTGTTCTCTCAGGTTTATTGATCGATCCATGTTCTTCACTCAAATGCTGTTATCATCTTGTGAAGCAAAAGCTAGTCTTAAGCTAGTGATCAGATCTCTTGATAAAACCCCTCATATCCTCGTTTGGATTCTGGATTCATATGTTCTTCTCGCCTCGGGTGATTTAACAGCAGTCGATAAGAACGGTGAACAAGGTAGAGGTAATATTCATACATATAATCGAAGCAAACTTTTTACTTATAGAAAATATCAAGCCCTTCCCAGCCATCAAAATGCTCTACAAAGTATTCGATGCCGAGACTGCCGCCAGGTAAGACTAATTATAGGTTTTTCGTTATAAATCTGTTTTTCAATAGTGATCCAAGAGCAAACGGCGAGGATGCTTCTGTTGGATTAATTGATCTTCCACTTCCTTGTTGTATTCAGCTAATGGAAACATTGTTGCTCTCCTCTCACTCCCTCCCTCCAGCCTGTCGATCAGTCGGTCAGTTCTATGTTGGTTTCTTACGGCTGTCAGAGACTTCGTAGGATCCTAAAACTCAGTCAGATTATGTGATTTAAGATATTTTATGCTTTGTCAATGTTTCTGTTCTTAACGCAGAGTATAAAAACTAATTTTTGGTATTTTCACGAGTCCGTTTCTGTTAACTCTTCCCCCTCTCTTGTTTTCTCTCTCATGAAAAGGATTGTTTTGTTCGGTTGATAATTAAAGACGTTTCAATATATGCCATTTCTTTTCTCGAAAAACAAGCAATTCCAAAACGGAAAAACAGTCATTACAAAACCAAAAGTTATAGAGACAAACCATCAATACGCGATCGTCTTTGAATTTGGAAATACGATGAAGGGTTCGAATCAGATAGTTTCCAAGATACTTGTTATGAGGAAAGCTGACCTAATCAATTGGTAGAGTCCGAATTAGAGAAAGGATTGAGTGTTCAATCGAAGATGAAATGATATTCTCAAACGGGCCGTTGACTTATCAGTCATAGGTTGATACAACATGGCTTTCCAGATCTCATATGAGCTTACGGATAGTGTTGCATCAGCTTTGTCATTATGCCTTCAATGGAGATGCGAACAACCAAAATTGCTTTGCGAATTTAAAACTTCATGTATATGTCTTGTTTATTCTTTTTTTGGTTGTATAAAGAAGCAAGTTTAAAATCAAAAACAATTATTACATGACCAGTAGTAAAACGCAGCCGAAGTTTTTTCAAAACTTGGAAACTAAAGCTTGACCGTGAACATTTCAGCTACTTTTTGTAACAAAGCTGCTCGATCTTCAATACTGAAAAGCACAATGAATAAGGAAAATAGGCATTCGAACACTCACATCAAGTCCAAGACAACGCCATTAGGACACACTTTCTCAAAATGTACTTTGAAGTTAAGCTGTTTTCTTTCAGTACCACAAACGGAACATCGATACCTGGAGATTAAGAACTGCGAAGAATGAACAAGTAAGACCTACCTCTTCATGTTATAATGCGACATACAGTGCTTGATCTGATCATCTACAATTGTTTTCGTTACCCCGCAAATCTGGAACGACACACCATTATAAAAGCTGCAACAGCAAGACGACTTACATTGCAGATTTTCTTAGCTCTAGTAGGAGGAAGAGTCTTTCTTTTCGATTTTGTATTTAGATCAAAAGATCTTATATCATAATTAATTTTATTAGAACGATTTGTATTGCGTAAATTAATAGGTTGAGCCAAGAGAGCCCTGTAACAGAAAGTGAGAAGAGGGGAGTTGTGAAAAGAAAACTAACCGCATCTGGTCAATCCCAACTTTTGATTCGGGAGAGCCAAACAAATCATAAGCTATCGAAGCAGGTGGCATTATTCGTGAAGCATTATTTTCTTTGCTGGATTCATCCTCCGTAACTTCTTCTATTGCTGGTTTTGAAACGTCAATAGTTTCTTGGATTTCTCCATCAGGGAACGGTGATAAATTAAATTCATCTTGGCTCCGCACCAAGACATTAACATTCCTTGGAGGTTCGGCGAGAGCGGTCCTGGAACACGGCGGAAAACAACATGAAAATTTAAAAGGAATTGACTTACCCGTTCCATTCAATACCTCTGGATAGTGGAACTGTTTTAACGAATAAGTTTTCGAATCCATTCGATACCTAGAAAGGAGAAGAAAAAATTAAATTTAAAAAAAAGAAAAGAAACGAACCAAAACTTCAGTAAGTCTGCCCAATTCAGAAACTGGCAATCTTATTTCTACCTCCATCAGGTCTGGCTCCACCTGTTACGAGCTTACTTTCAACTCTTCCAACTAAATAGTATTTAATACTAATCGTCAAATCTATCAACTGACGCCAAATATACATACATAGATTTACTTATATATTTATGAATACTGTCATCATTTCTTTTAAAACGATTATAAATATTTTAGAATTGGCGGGAAACTATTACAACTGTGTTTACTGATTATGGTAGGTGCATTAAAGACACTAGATGTTTATTAACATAATCAACTGTTCGTAAGAGAGCATTCATTGCGGAATGTTGAGAAGACACAATAAATTTCGTAATAATGAATGCAAAATAATAGGAAGTTTGTTGGCGATCAATTCATTCGTCATCGTCGGGATTCTCGGTATCCGCCACACACTGCAATGGTTCAACGTATGTACTCTGAGTTTGACAGTTACTCACAAAGAATTCGATAAAAAACTGCTGCTGCTCGGGTCTTTCTATTGCCAATTGCACACATAGGACTCCTCTCACATCTATACAGAGCGTTACCTCAAATGAAAGCTTTACTTTCAAATACAAATTCCAGATGCTAACCTTAGAAGACAAGTTCAATGCCGCTGCCATCCTTTTTATAAGTAAGACTCTATAACTATGACTCGTGTCAACGGTACATTCAATCTTTTCGATGAGTTCGGAATGAGAAGGGAAGTTCATCTGAATAGAAAAATCTGGATTTGGGTAGATAAAGAGTGAATTTACAGAGATCTTTCCTATATCCCCTTGTGATATTATAGTAAATTTCCTTGAACAAACTCTCATTGACAAAGCATGGCTAGTATCATCTAGTCCCTTAAGAGAACAATCATAAAGATAGTTTGGATGACATTAGTTCTACTTTAATAATATCTCGGAATAATTCTGGTTTTATTTTGATTTTTGCTCGAATTTCCTCAGGGTTGAAGTCGAAGTCCAACACCTGCAAACGACTGGAACATATGAAAATGAAAAGAAGTACTGACAGCTTCGGGATTAACAGTATGAATACTAGCTTGAACTATATAATCGTCTTCACTGGAAGCTAAAGTGACTCGAAGAGGCTCTCCAAAGCCATCGTAGGACATTTTGAGAGTTACATCGTTACCATCTAACATCGACAGTACTTCCTGAACAGAGAGAAAAACTAAAATCTCAAGCCACTCACTGGCTTACTGTCAACTCTTGTATTGGAACTCGGAAGTTAACATCTTCTCTTAGCACGAAAGATGAAAATACGGGATATTCAAAATATATATTCGCCTTCAATAATATGTTCTTGTTAACCACGTGCTTGATAAGACCTAAGGCTTGCCTGTTCGCAATGCTGGTCATCAACGATAATTCGAATACCCGTCTTGGTCACATGAAAAGTACATCCCTTCAACAACTACGGAAGATATCTTAGGGAATATTTTACCTCTCGGAAAGTGACAGTTTTCAAAACAGAACAAAATTCTTTTGCATTGTCCATCTTAAGTTCCAGGCAGTGGGTCTGATCTTCTCGGATTTCATCAGCGATCATTTGCATTTCTCAACCTAATTACACATTTTTATTGGAAATTTCCGAATCATAATATACATTTATGAAAACTTTGTAAAATATGATCACGAAAGTAGAATCTGCTGCCAAGGAGATGGGAAAATATCAAACTTTATACGAATGTTTAATGGAAGAACGAAAACACGTAAGTAGAACCTTCAACAACCAAACTCAGGGACCTCGAGAGTTAGAGTTCCTTGAGAGAAGTTGAAGGATAGTTTGGGGGGCTCATTATGCTCTATCCTTCTATAAATATGCTGTCTTAGACGAATTATTCAGAAAAGAAACAAACTCGAAGCATGTAGCATTAGGGTAACTTGTTTGGCTGTTAATATGATCATCTCCATGATCAGCATCCTCCTCTTCTTTCATTCCCTCAAACTCTTTTTTGATAGCCTCCAACTCTCTTGTGCAATGGTCAACAGGGTCATGATTAACGGCTACGCTTGGATCTTCAGAGCAAGCTAAGTTCAAATCTAAACTTAGAGGTAAGAAGGCTGCATTGCCCAAAGGTGGTTCGCCTTAATGAAATTTATAAGTTGCTCATTAGATAAGTAGAACTTACTACTCCCATTCGGCTCTGGTATGTCGAGAGACAAAGCAAAATTATTGAAACTCATACCCTCTTCCTCTTTCAGCGATCTTTCCAGATTTCAAGAGTTTTTCACTCGTGACTACTTTTATTCTTTTCCATAAAAACTTTAGCGATATGTTAGATCAAACTCTGTAATGTCCATATTTGAATATTATTCATTTTGATACAGCTCGAGCATTCAGAATTTGAAAATTGTATTAATGGTCCCAACACGAATTAGTCTTTATTTTCTTTGGGCGGTTTTAGACCTTTACTAGCTTTAAGAGATCGCTGGATGAATTATTCTGTTTTTGGATATATTTTATGAGTTAGTGGTAATTTTTTCTTCTTTATTTGATGGGAATAAGATATTTAAATTAGTGTCTTCAACGAGTGTGGCTTTAACACCAAAAAAATTGATGTTTTCTTTATGATTTTCGTTTTTTTTCGTTGCTCCGATTTTTCTGTTCACCTTCTGCTAGTGCGATAGTATTCTTACTCTGATCAGTTATAGTCATGTTCAACCGTGCTCTTCTTGCTGCAGCTCGCCAGACCATTGGCCGTCGTTCCCTCCACAAGGGTACCGAATCTACTCCACCACTCCGTTTCACTTCCACCACTGAGAAGGTATTTGTCTTAGTTGAAGCTGTTCGTATATTTTCTTTGTAGGTAGGACTTTATTCCTTGATTGCCTTTGCTTTCCTCTCATACCCAACATACGTTCTTCTCAACCTCGATAATCTCCGTCCTAAGGTTTGATTTCTCGTTGCTGCTCTGTCTTTACACTTATTTTTAGGGAGATAACTTCTTGGCTCCAGAGGTGCAGGAAGAGATTGACGCCATTCGTGCTGCCCGTAAGTAGATAGCAAATGGAATAAATGTTTCTAGTATGAGCTGTATCCAGTGTAGAAGATAAAACTATAATTATACTGTTTGACTTTGTTTAGCACTTCATCAAAATTTATTTCTACATTCAACAGTAAAACAATATAACAATCTAATCTACAACAAAACTAAACAACTAGAACGAGATAACTTATGAGTCAAAATTATGATTACTGGACAATTTCCTCGAAAGCCTTAGCATGTGGGTTCTCCTTGGGAGAGTTGGAATAATCGGGCTTCAATCTCTTCTCAGCCATTTCTCCGTATGGGTTGAATCCAAGTCTTTCCATTTCAGCCTTCATGGCCTTCTTCTTCAGCTTAGGATCCTGATAAGATAAACGGTACTAACGTAAGGTCAAGCTCACAAACCTTATCCTCAGCAGTTTGCTTGGGGAGAACATCAGTGAAAACACCGGTACCAATAGTGGTGGTTCCTTTACGGATAGTGAATCTCTGTTGTGGCTCGATGAACATAGTTTGGTTCAAATGGAGTTCAACCCTGAAAATACAATAACTATTCCACTAAAAGAATGGTGATCTATTACTCGGCAGCTTCTCCTGGCATAATGAAGTCCTTGTCCTTGATTTTCAATGTAGCTCCAGTATCCCAGGTGAGAGAGAAGACGTGCTCTTGGAAGAAGTTGGCTAATGGAGTTTTTCCACCTCCTTCGCTTGGTTTAAGAACGTATAACTAAGAAAATCAAATGAGCTATTGTAAAAACTGTCCTACTTACTTGAGCCTTGACTTTGTCGGTGATAGTGTGCTTATGTGCTTGTGGAAGGAGAACGCATCCTCTACGAACATCTTTAGGTCCAAGTCCACGAAGGAGAATTCCGAGTTGATCTCCTGGTTCAGCTTGGTCAACAGTTTTACGGAATGACTCAAGTCCTTAAAGTTAGCTATGGTTATGCTCGCATATTTTCAAATATACTAACCAGAAATGACAGACTTGACACCTTCACGATCACAACCAACAATTTCGATTTTGTCTCCTCTCTTGAGAGTTCCTCTCTCGAGCTTTCCAGTGATAACAGTTCCTCTTCCTAAAACGAAGCAGAATGAAATTATTGATAACTTCAATTTTCTCCAACCTTGAATGGAATACACATGCTCAGCAGCGAACATGGGTTCTTGGTTCAAATCTCTGTCTGGGATGACGAATTCGTTGTCCAAAACATCCATGAGTTCTTGAACAGATTTTGCTCCGAGTTCTGGTTCTTTTCCTTCCAAAGCGCAAAGAGCAGAACCGAAGATAACCTTCAATTGATCTCCTGGGAAATCGAACTCATTGAGAAGCTCTCTGATTTCCATCTCAACCAATTCGCGAGTTTCTTGGTCAGGAATGAGATCAGCCTTTATGATTCTTATCAAAAAAAGTTAAAAAAGAAACCTCACCTTGTTCAAGTATACAACAATATTTTCACGAGGAATTCCAACTTGACGAGCCAAAAGAAGATGTTCTCTGGTTTGAGGCATAGTTCCATCGGTAGCAGCTACTACCAAAATAGCTCCTTCCATCTGAGCAGCTCCAGTAATCATATTCTTAATGTAATCTGCGTGTCCGGGACAGTCAATGTGGGCATAATGTCTTTTGGCTGTTTCATATTCCAAATGGAAAGCATTGATGGTAATTCCTGAGAAGCTACGTAACGAAGAGTTATCTATGAAAAACCAACCTCTAGCTTTCTCTTCTGGAGCATTATCGATATCTTCGTACTTTCTGTACTTGGCACCCTTAACAGTATCAGCCAAAACTTTGGTGATGGCGGAAGTTAAAGTTGTCTTTCCGTGATCGACGTGACCGATGGTACCAACATTCAAATGAGGCTTATCTCTCTGGAAAAACAAACTTGACCTGAAGAATATAAAACAGATAGTACTTTGAACACTGCTTTTCCTCCTGGAACAGCCAAGCAACGTGCATGTTGGTTCATGGCCAGGCGGTATAATTGGGCTTCACATTTGGAAGCTTGGCCAAGCACTTCTAGAATAAACAGTTTGTCACAACATATCAGTCCGAATACTCACTGCTTGTTGATGGAACAGCCCTGCTCAAGAAAGCAAGGATCTGCATGTTTATCCAAGAAGGTACCCACTGAAAATACTGAAACTGAACTTTAAGATCCGCAAGCTCTAAGATTAAAAAATTAAAATTGCAGTAGAATACGTACTACGAAAACTGTTAACTACACATCTCCTTGTAAACGACGTACAGGCATTTTAGAGTTAGAGCAGGCTTCTGATTGGAGCAGATTTGAAAGACCTCACGCGTTGCATAAACTTTCTGAGCTAAAGCTGTAAAAGTTCCACTCTCAACGTTCATTAATTAAATCGAAGACTTTGAATATAGAAGGTGTCATGTTGTGTTTTTAGAGTTTAATTTCCGTTTACTTATGGGATATGGATAATTTCTCGAGATATAGAAAAAACCAGAAACAAGTAAGGCTTCATGAATGGGCATCATCACTCATCCGCTGTTTCAGAAAGAGGATGATGAAAATGAAGGCTTGTTAGTTTTTGGATATACATGCCGTATCTACCCTGATTCCGAAAGAGCTAACTCAATAGCTGAAGAGAGACATTTACAAAATTGGAATGGGGATTCTGATATAAGAATAGATAGGTTTGTAATCTACTTTTTTCTGGAGAAGTGGGTTGGGAGGGGACTTTCAGATCGACTTACTACTCAGCATTTGATGGAGATGGCGTTGAAACATCAAAAGGTAAATGTTTGTATATCTTCGAAAACATAGTCTTCCTTAACGATGTTTTTAGAATGCTGAAATCTTGTAGATTTATTCAAATTGTTTTGGCCCCTCTTCAAATCTCTTCTTTTCATTTGTCACTGTTCATCTATTTCAATTGTTGTTTTTCAGGAGCTCTAAGCTAAACTGCTGCTGAAAGTATTAAAATGGTCGATTGTAAGTAACGACCACTGTTGAGAATAGTATTCTCAGCTTTATAAACATTCAAACATGAATACCTTAGCTCTACCGTACTTGACCATCCTTTTATAGGTACGATGTCCGACTCCTCTTAACGTCTTTCAATGAAAACGTTTCCAATGAAACTGAAATATGTCCGACAGAAGAAATGGAGGAACAAATGTGTGATGAAGAGAGATACTTGGACATGTACACGGATTTGAAAGCTAAAGGTCTCTCGGTCGCGAAATCATCTTGGATACATTTCTTTTCTACAGCTGATAAAGAAGAAGAAGAGAAAAAGAGAAAAACCGAAATTGGATTCGATTATGGAACTTCTGTAGTTAATGGAAGACCCACTGATGATAACAGTGACAGTGAGGATGAGCCCTTCGTGCCTCCTCCAGGCATTAAGTTGCCGGTCGGCCTCACACTGGTAAGGGCTGTTCAAATATGCTTTCACAAAAAACTTCTTTGAAGCCTGAAAATCAAAAACAAAATCATTTAATCGAAAAAACGGCGGTTTTTGTTGTTGCCCAAGGACCTCAAATGGAGATCGTAATCAAAGCAAAACAGAGAAACAATACAGAGCAGGTTAAACTTCCATCGATTCCCTAGTCTCCAACTTGAAATATATTTAGTTCGGCTTCCTGGACTTTGATAACACTCTGAATCCTTATTACAAATACATCTCAAAACTGATCAGAGAGAAGAAATACACTCCAGAAATCACAAAGAACAAAGTAAAACCGTCTTCTCTTTCCTCCTTTATTTTTTCATGCCTCAGGGTGTAACTGACCAGGATAGGCCGCCAACTCCTGAACAAAGAATAAAGCCCACCGGAGCTTTGGCAGCTATTGCTATAGGTAGGTTTTTCTTCTTGTTTACCGAAACAACATCGAGGGTTCTCCAATTACCAAAGGCTAAATGATACAGGCTCCATCTGAGCTTGTGGTGGGAAGTCTGAATCAGGAGAATGTTCTTTGATTTCTCATTTGTTATTCCTCGTTCTTCCAGACCATGGTTCCGATGAATCTGATTCTGATTGTGAACTTCATCCCTCTCTTCTATCAAAGAACAGATCTCCGAGCCCGGACATTATGGAAAGAACATCTATCGGTCCTATGCGAAAGCCGGCATCACCTCCACCTCAGCCAGTTTCCGTCATAAGAAGCGACTACGATATGTCCAAGGTAGGCTAATAGAACTCAAGTTCTCCAGAAAAATAAAATCTTTGAAGAGTAATGATTCATACGCTTCACTCTTCAAAAGTCTGTCAAACATCAAAGCAGGAAAGGATGAAGAAAAAATAAAAGAAGAAAAACGCAATCAGGAACTGAAAGGATTAATATTAGCGTAAGGATTCAGGCAGAAGTTCAGTAGTCTATAAACGTTTCAGAACAAGTGGATTTCCACCCGATGAAGAATGGAGAAGTTGGTGGGCCACCTTTTATGGATATGAGTGTCCTATGAAAGCTCCTTGTCCTCTCATTCCTCCTCCTCCTGATTTGGAGCCTGTCGTGAACAATTATGCTTGCTTCGTTGCCCGACATGGAGCCACTACAGAAGCAGCTCTCCGAACAAGAGCTGACCTTCAACTGAACTTCATGAATCCTAATAACCCTCATTTCTCGTATTATCAGCATAAAGTGCGTTTCACGCAGTGGGAAATGAATCAAATGGCGGGTCATGTGAGTCAGGATACAGTTACATGAAACTTTATTTATGGATGTTCAGATAAGCAACCCTCCGGTACCCGTTTACAACTATCCTACGTTACTAGATAACGCGGGAACATCGGAACCATCTTCACCTGGACCTGAAGGTTTTTGCTCTTTATAAGACACTCAGTGAACATAGTTTTCAGCTTCTCTGAACAGGAAACAAAGAAGGCGTCTCCAGGATGCTTCAATTGTGGGTGTAGCCCCTCCACCTGGGGTTATTGACCCTATTCTTCTTAGAAACAATTTGGAGGTTTCTTAACATCTCTCGCGATTTAAAAACATATCATCGATTATAGATGAACAAATCACAATCGTCCCCATCATTACAATGGAATTCACTCGAGACTGATTCTAGTGAGATTGGCGCTCAACCATATACACCCACTGGCTCCATATCGTTTTCTATCCAACCTATCAAAGAAGAAACCAAAAAGCCTTCGATGTAAGTGGAAGACCCAGATTTTATTATATAACTCATATTTGCAGTGATCTGGATGATCCTTTAGAAGCTATGGTTCAAGATGACTTTCTCCCCTCAACTTCTACTGAGCCTTCATTACCCTTAGCACCTGTAATTCTCAACAATACTCAATTGGATAGAAAAGAGAAAGCTCGAATATTTATGGAGAAACTTATGAATGAGAAGAGGGCCAAGAAACTGCAGGAGGCTGAAAGCGCTCGGATTCAGGAATTAGAGAGAAAGAAACTGGAACTTGAAAAAGTAAGCTCTTATTAAATGTTTTTCCATTTATATATTCATTTTAGGAGCTTCAAAGAGAAGAGAGTACTGAAGAGATCAAGGTTTATGAAGCCACTTCAGATAATGACGATGAGCAGCGAAAAGCAACAACTCAAGAGCCTGTAAGGCCATCTCTTCACATGATTGATGAACTAATTAATAAGTACTATATTCATAAGTGTAGTTCGGTTTTGGAAAAAAAAGAATTTTCAGGCGAATCGACAATCTTTTGGAATCGAACGGTCTATCATATATCGCGACTTCATCTAAAATTCCAGCAGAGTCTGATAATGATGATCGGAAGAGAAAAGAGAAAAAAGAGAAAAAGAAGAAATCAAAACATCGATATGAACGAAGGAGAAGGTACATCATGCTCCATTCATTTCCCTTAACAGTATTCAAACTTTTCAGCAGAAGTCGTTCAAAGGAACGTTCGAAAGAAAGCAAGCGAAGAAGACGAAGCTCCAGTTCTGATAGGTATAGTGACCATTGAGATAGAAACAAACTTTAAAATGTTTATAGAGATTCTCGAAGAAAGATTCGATGACGCTAGAATTCATGAAGTTATAACTTTGTTTTTTTTGATACGAGTAAAAATATTTCATCATGGGTAATAAATTTGAACCCATCACTCTCTTCAGTTGCCATCCCATTTAGCTGAAAGAGTTGTTGGATATAGAAGCTTTCAAAGTTCAGCAATACCTTCAATGAAGCTAATATGTGATTTTTCAACAATCTATGACATTTAAAAACTGTTCCTCCAAAACTGTACGTTGTAGCATCTAGTACACCTCCTTGGATCTAGACGCATAATTTATTGAAAGCTGTAATAAAAGTCTTTTTTTACCAGAAATCCTCCATCCTCTATCAAACTACAAGCACCTTTCACAGCTCTATTATAGCCTTCCAAGCTATCACAAGAATATTCCAGACAGAAAACAGTCGTAACAACCTAAACACGAACGTATCCAGCTTCTCAGATCATTTTCTCACTTGGAACTTCTTAGGAACGGCTACACTACCATCCTTCTTCCAGAACGTGTTCTTTATCACCGGAAGCTCATGTACATTTACCTGATAAAATGTCAGGAATCATAAATATCTTAGATTACCTCGAAAATTCCAGCAATCTTATCTCGAGCCTTTTGTTGCATGATCGCTGGGGTTTCATTGCTTGCTTCTATATTTGAAATCCATTCACACACGTTGCTCCAATTGAACTGAGACCTGCAGTTGGGAAATCTTGTTCAAATATCGAGCTGCAGTTTTTTTGTTACCGATTTTCAACCCAGTTCAATAAAAATTGTCTATTAGCTGGTGCGTAGTCGGAAGTATAAATAATATCGGCTCTATTTCGAAGGGCAATTGGTAAATAGACTGTCGGTCCTTAAAACGAGCTTAAGATATCAAAAACGTATGTGAGAGATGAATTTGAATGAAGTAGATATATGCGAATATGCAAATCTTGGCGTGTCTTATCTCAGGTCGAACGCATCTCTTTACGTTTTATTTCACAACTTTTCATTTGAAATCGACTGCAGTCAAAGAGCGGTTGCGTTTATAATGTGCTATCAATCTTTACAGTTTCACTTCCTTATTTTTTTAATTGCAAATGATAACTATGTACCTGCTCCTAAGTCTAACACTGTTCTGACCCTCTCAGGCAAGCGATACAGCATGCCCGGTAGGAAAAAAAGTACTATTTGCATAGCAGTGTCTTCCTTGGCTGTTTTGTAGAATGATTCCAAATATTGAGAAGGATCAAACTGAAACACTGTTGAAACAGAGAACACAGTTTCTAGTAACCTTATCATGATGCTCTTCAGGGGCGCAGACCTCATCTGGCTCTTCTTTTTCGTCTTTCTCTGTGTTTTTTTCAATTTCTTTATTGTCGGCTTCTGATGGAACAGTCATCTAGAACATGTGTTATCAGTTGACCACTCCTAGTTAACAGTTGTGAACAGCCGACCACGCAAACCAGGAAAAAATAATTTTCACGTACCTCTGCTAGTCAAACGCTCGTTCTTGAGTTAGTTGTACTTTTTATTATTTCTAACTGGAACGGGGACTATATTTCGGAAAGTCTGGGGGAGGAGTAGGAGGAGTAGGAGAGAGAAGAAAGCAAGAGCGAGCAGGACACTAGTGACGATTGCTAGATGCTGCTGCTGTTCGCGGACCCTGTTGTAATACAGACGGGCACTTCATCGGAGTTTATGAGAGAGAGCGATCGAGATATAACGAGATCTGGCGAGATTGTGGAGCTGTACGAGAAAGAAGTGAGAGAAGCTTCCTTGCTGTCGGTTGCCTCGAAGAGACTGCACTCTCAAATCTTTTCCAATCACTTCCACAACCTATTAAACCATTTTCTATTGTATCGTTGTTCTTTTTGTTCCAGAAAAAATACGCTGACCATGAATTACATTGTTATCTCTGAGTTCATAGAGAAGCTTTTATCAGTTGTATGGCGCAATTCATATGATTGTTTTCTATTTTAAAATGTAAATATCACATGCTGAAAAACTATTTGTTCTCGTATATCAACATGACCCATTCGTTTAGTCTCCTTAGATGGAATATTTTGTAATACTCCCAAGAGGCTTCACAGAATGTGTGACGATCCCCGCTTTGTCCTTCGCTGACGCAAACATTGCTTGTTCATAAGCTAAACGTTTTTTTTCAGAATGTGAAACATTTTTAGACATTTTTCTTCATAAACATTAATCTTTTTCTCATGAAACACATCTAACTGTGGTGTATTTTTAAAAAGTTGCTCGTTTGATGCAACAGGCCATGTGCAGTCGACAGCGTCCTTTCGCGTACCTGATTTAATCTAATTTGCATATTTATTACAAACCAATTACGATGTCTAATTTCATTATTTGTCTTGAAGAGTATTCTAAGTTCTAACATGAACCTCCATATTGCAGAATTCTAATGTTACTAGACTCATCGTCATAATGTCAACTGGAGTTCTTAGTTTTGTAAGGGGAATAGACTTCTCCCGGAATGATTTCTCCGTTAGTTCTCCAATTTTTCAAACTTCAACTTTTTCCATCCGTTTAGGGAGACCTATTCCCCCATGCTGTTGAGCAAATGACGTCAATGACTTGGCTCAAACTCAACAGAGCCAATCTTGATAAGGTTCGTTCTCTTGTTTGTTACTTTATTTACTCTTTCTGCTTTGTCCAGGTTCCTGATGAACTCTCTAGATGTGATAACTTAGAGCATCTTCAAATGGCTCATAATAAACTCACAAGTGTTCATGGAGAACTTTCTGATCTTCCTCGTTTACGTTCTGTGATTGTTCGGCATAACCAGGTTAGATTGAAGTTGAATCACTTGGTTAGTATAAGGTCTTTCTTCCAGGTTAAAACGGCCGGTATCCCTACGGATATTTTTAAAATGAAAGACTTAACTATTATCGATTTTTCCCATAATACTTTACGTGATGTTCCTCCTAATTTGGAATATGCTAAAGGTGCCATTGTATTAAACCTTAGTCATAATAATATTGAGAGTATTCCTAATCAGGTAAGCACACTCTCTCGGATTTTTAATTTCTTACCTTTTAGGTGTTTTCTAATCTGATCGATCTTATATTCCTTGATCTCTCCAATAATAAGCTGGATATGCTCCCACCACAGATTCGTCGGTTAACTATGGTTCAAGCATTGAAACTTTCCCACAATCCTCTTCATCATTTCCAGTTGAAACAACTTCCAAGGTGAGAAAACTGTGTCAGAATCTAAGTTTAACTCTATTGTTCTAGCATGACAGCACTCCGAGTTTTACATATGCGTAATACAAACAGAACTCTCGACAACATACCACCTACCCTTGATGATCTTGAGAACTTAACTGTAATTCATCTATGGTCCCATGTTTTCTATATAATCATTCCAGGATGTTGATTTTGCTGAAAATAATCTATCGGCAGTGCCGGACGCTCTTTTCAAATTGAAGAATTTGAGAAAATTGGACATCAGTTCGAATAAAGTATGTTTGACGTATGAACTGTTTTTCAACCGACTATTCAAAAACAGATCACGAATTTCGTTCTACCAGAGGGTTCATGGGAGAATATGGAAACTTTGAATGTAAATTCAAATCAATTGAGCGCTTTACCAGACGGCATTGTTAAAATGTCTCGTTTACAAAGGCTGTATGCAAGTGATAATCAATTGAAGTTTGAAGGTTCGTTCTGTGTCATATTCCGATTTGTCATTGATTTATGTCTTTTAAGGTATCCCAAGTGGTATTGGAAAACTTGTGCAACTAGTTGTTCTTCATCTCTCTCGTAATCAACTCGAGTTAATACCTGAAAGCGTCTCGCGTTGTGTGAAGCTTCAACGACTGAAACTGAATCATAACAAGTTGATTACTCTGCCGGACGGAATTCATCTTCTTCCAGACCTCAAAGAACTTGATCTCCAAGAGTGAGCTCTGGTGTTTATGCATAATAACATGTTGAACTTTACAGTAACGACGATTTGGTTTTGCCACCCAAGCCAAATGAGGCGCGCAAGAAATTAGCTTTTTACAACATTGATTTCTCTCTGGAGCATCAGGTTGGAAGATTATGCTTATTATGATCATTTATGACAAATTTCTACACAATTTTCAACACAAAAAGCAATATTTATTTTTTTCTTCATCATTTTAATAACATTACAGCGAAATCTTGCCGGACAGTCTCCGTGCTCATCGGTTTCATCGGTTGTTAGTGGAACAAAGGATCCTGTGGCTAGAAAAAAAGACTTCATTCGGAGACGAAAGCAGGCTGCTGACCAACAAGACGCCAGCAAAGTTATTCAGGTACATACAAAATTAGAAATTGAAACATCCTGCTACTTGCTATAACAAACAGCCAAACCTCTTTCTCACGTTCCGGAAGATAAATATGTGAATATCAATGTCATATATCGATTTCGGCCATACGCTATTTCTATTCATATTCCATTTCAGGGAATGTCAAAAATTGCTGGATCGGGCGCTGCTCTGCAAGCAGAGAGAGAGGAGGAAGAACAGAAAATAGCCACACGATCAGCTGTGAATTGGAAGGTTAGTTGTGTTTCTTCACATCTTACTCATGGCTGAGTAATCCTTTCAGGCAAACATAGAAAAGCAGAGAAAACGCTTAGATTATAGCGACATTTTCGATCCTTCAGTTGGAACTGAAGAGGTAACTTTCGTCGAGTTAAATCCAATCATCCTTCTGTCTTGTAGGGACTATGGCTCTGGGAAATTGAGAACTTCTATCCTTCGTTGGTGGAAGACGAACTTTTTGGTCATTTCTATGATGCGGATTGTTACCTAGTCTTGAAAACAACCAGAGTAAGTTATGAAAAACGGTCTATCTTAATATGTTTCCCTTGTTAGGAACTCTCCGGTAGTTTGAAACACGAGATCTTCTACTGGATTGGAGACCATGCAGCTTTGGACAAAGTCATGTGTTCAGCAGTCCATGCCGTTGGACTCCGAAATCATTTAAGCGCCAGTTGCAGGTTCGTTGTTACTCCCTCTAAATTCTCTCATAAATCCAATGTAGGACAATTCGTGAAGAAATGAATGATGAATCTGAAGAGTTTCTCGATCTGTTCGGTGAAGAAATCACATACATTGAAGGCGAGAGAACGAGCACAGGTTTCTACACGACAGAAAAAGCCAAGCATGTAACGAGGTTAGTTTCTCCGAGATTAATTAACAATGTTGTTCTTTCTATCAGACTTTATCGCGCATCGGTTACCGGAACTCAAGTAGATATGGAACCAGTCCCCGTGACAAGCGATTCCCTAGACCCCCGTTATGTCTTTTTGCTCGATGTTGGAGATACCATTTGGATCTGGAGCGGTTGGAAGTCGAAGGTAAGAAACATTCTCGAAAAAACAATTTATTTCGCTGTTCAGATTACTGTTGCTAACAAAGCACGATTGTTCGCCGAAAGGTTGAATAAGAGAGATCGTAAAGCAAAGTCAGAAATCGAAACTTGTCGTGAATTGAAGACTCCTCCTGAGTTCTGGCAAGCTCTAACAGGCTCCCCGGGCAAACCCGAAGATCCAGTAGTTGAAAATGTCCCCGATAACTTCGTTCCTATCCGAAAACGGTTGTATCAAGTTAATATTGGAATGGGCTTCCTTGAGCTCCCACAAATTGAACTTGCGAAAGGAGTTTGTCGCCAAGAAATGCTTGATGCCAAAGGAGTTTATATTCTCGACTGTACTTCGGATATCTTCCTCTGGACAGGAAAGAAAGCTAATCGTCTGCTGAAAATGGCTGGTCAAAAAATGGTCACCGAACTTCATAGAATGATTGAGCGTCCTGATTACACTCAGATTTGTAGAGAAACTGAGGTTTGTGTTTATTATCAGTTCTACCTAATACAAGTCATATGAAGGGCGAAGAGTCTATGATGTTCCGCTCGAAGTTTGTTGGTTGGGATGATATTGTTCCAGTTGACTTCACTCGAACTTCTGAATCCGTCCAAAGAGTTCCCGATTTGAAGGTTTGTTCGTGTAATACTGCTGTTACTGAAGTTCTTCTACAGGTTCTTGTGAAGAAAGACAACATGATGAAAACAGACTTGGCAGCTCTTTTCCTTGATCGTCAACCTGCAATGAGCTCTGAAGAAAGTGAAGAACTATTGAATGATTGCAACCTGGACTTAGAGCTTATCGAACCGTTTGTTTGGGTTTGTTTCTCTCTTGTAGTGATCTTTTCTAAATTCTGGTTTAGGAAGCTAAGAAGTTCGTCAAGTTACCTGAACATGAGTTTGGTACTTTCTACACCATGGATTGCTATGTTTTCCTTTGTCGTTATGAAGTCATTCCTGACGAAGAATCGGAAGATGAAGAGGAAGAGGGTGAAAAGGTAAAAAACTTTGAAATTTCTTGTTGATCATTGGTGTTTTACTCTAGGTCGAGCCTGATTTCAAATGTGTTGTTTATTTCTGGCAAGGACGAGACGCATCAAATATGGGATGGCTTCAGTTTACTTTCCAATTACAACCGACTTTCGAGAAGATTTTCAAAGATAAACTTGAGGTGATCATGTAGTTGAATAACCATCTAACCCACGAAATGACAGGTTGTGCGTATGCATCAGCAGCAAGAGAATCATAAATTCCTTTCACATTTCCATAAGAAGTTTGTGATTCGTCGTGGTCGTAGAGGTTTGACAAAGAATCTCGGGGGACGATGGCCAGAACTCTTCCAAATACGAGCTAATGGATCGAGTGTTTGTACCAGAACCATTCAAATCGATGCCAGGTACAGTTCAATCTATTAGTTTCTCATCAATTTCAACACGAATTTTCTTCAACCGTTCGACGAATCATTTTTTTCAATAATTAAAAATTTCATGTGAAATGCGGGACGCGTTGTTCCGATTGATATGCAATTTCATTTTCGTATTCAGGTCTGATCACTTATGTTCGGCATTCTGTCACATTCTTCGAGCTCCGTTCAAGATGGAAAAGGATGGAGAAAAAGGAATTGTTTACGTTTGGGTCGGATCTGCTAGTGAAGCAACCTGCGAAGAAGTCGCCCGCAAAGTATGTTTACGAGGTCAAATATTATTTTTCTCATATTGCTCTAGGTTGCGGAGGAGATGATCAACAGAGACGATGAGTCATTCCCTGTCAAAGTTATTAAGGAGGATGAGGAACCTGAAGAGTTCTGGGAGTACATCAGTGGAAAGAAGAAGTAAGAATAACACTTTTCAACTCTTATAACTTCAGCGGTTACAGGTATGAGCGAGATGCTTCGTTCTTCAAGTACACTCGACTCTTCCGTTGTACTAACGAGAAAGGTTACTTTGCTGTTTCCGAAAAAACTGTTGACTTTTGTCAAGTAAGTTGAGTCTTCCCATTCTGTATTGAAGTTGTTGCCTCAGGATGATTTGGATGATGATGATATCATGATTCTGGATAATGGTGATATTGTGTTCTTATGGATCGGTAGCCGAGCGAGTGAAGTGGAAGTTAAATTGGCTTATAAAGCAGCGACAGTGTATGTGGCTCATTTACGTATGAGGCAAACAGAACGCGCACGAACATTGAAACTTTCCATAAAAGGAAAAGAAACTAAGCGATTTACAAAATGTTTCCATGCTTGGGGCAAACATAAGGTTAGTTAGAAATATCTTTGCTCAGTAGTAAAGTGCTCTTTGCAGGTTCCGGCGGGTGATTAAATAGTTTGCTGAAGTTTTGAATTGTTATTGATTTATCTGTAAATAGTAGATTATGTAATCACAGATAAGTTAGCTTGTAAATAATCTACATAGGTTTGTGAAATTTCTATGAAAGTTTTATCAATTTTTACTTATGATTTGCTCAAAAATGTGGCCTACAAGTATGAACGTGTATCATGCTGACTTGAATTATCTTGCATTTAAACGATTTGAAAATTCCTGATGTCACTACGATTTTCGTGCCTTGAATGTTTAACTTATCCGACTTGTCTCTTTCATGGCTTTATACAAAGTAATAATTTGTTGTTTCGTTCTTAATACTGGTGCTAGGAATGGGATTGTTCTTATACATTGTAACTTATTTCATCAACTAAGAATATAATATTTAAATCTCTCGTGTTATTCAATCTATCACTACTATACCAATGCTGATCACTCCGTCTTCGTTTTCTCGCTTTCGACATACGAGAAACTAAGAGTCAGAGTTGTTATCAGAAATACAAGCTGCGTATGCAGGAAGTTCAACGTCAGAACTAGTAAGCTCAACTCCGCTAACCTTTCCATCTGCAAGAGCATGGCGAAAGTAGCGGTAGCTGCTAGACTGCTTGTTAAAATCCGCAAAAAAAACATTGAAGTTCCAGTCAGTGGTTTATCACTAAACAGTTTCCAAAATTCTGCTGGTTTGAGCAATTTTCTGAAGCACACAAATGAGAAGAAGTTAGAACATGAAGTTAGAAACCTGATTAATACATAAATAGCTGCTGTGGACATTAAAGTGAAATAGAAAACATCGTATGGCGGCCATAACTTGAACATCTTCTGTAAGTGCTTCTGATCTCCTTGGAAGATCGTTATATCGTGCAGGTTTGCATATCTGTATAGCTGAAGGATTCAGATTGGTAAGTTTCATTGAAAATCTCAAGCAATACCTCATCCAAGTATGTGACCATTGAATGACTGAACAACAAGAAAGAAACATGATAGTTTATAAAGGACGCCAGTAAAATATGCAGTGATGGCTCAAATACATGGCTGTATAGCTTTCTGAGCATGTTTCTAGTAAATAAGTTTTTTTTACTGATTTCTTAATACTATGTTTGCACAATCTTGGCCAAAATACAAACGTAATCAATGAACGGATTGATCGACTGAATAACAAGGTCCAGGGGACAGCCAAGTAAGACCTTGACCTCTATAGAGAAGAATTATAAAAGTAAGTTAATTTCAACTGATTCTCTTTTTGAACTTCTTCTCTTCTTCGATAACACTTGAGTATCATTTTGACTTTTAATCCCATTCATAAGTACAGTTTCCACGGATCAGAATTGACCCTACCGAACTAGACCAAGACCTGTTCATTTCGAATATTTTTTACGCGCGAAGCGGTTGCATTTATTGTGGAGCTCAATGAACAAATAGTTTCAAGCGAAGTTGGTTAGTCTTAAAATCAGAAATATTGAGATGATTGATATGTACGAGATGTTGGCCGAAGAAATGATGAAAACTTTACACCAGCTTAGATAGGGGATTAAGTGCGTTCGTGACAAGAAAGTGAAGTATCCAATCTGCAACCTCATTTCCATGTCTAAGTTGGAAATATAAACTTACTAATACGGATGCATTGCTTACAACGCCTTGTAAGTCGAAGAGTCGATGAGCGGCTTTTTTAAACGAGAAAGTCTGAACAAAGAAATAAAAGAAGGCTTCACAGGTTGCATTACCAGGTTGTTCAAGTGACAGTTTGACAGAACAAGTGACAGCGTCATGAGTTCATAAGGTAAGGTCAGAATTAAGATATCCAAATCATTCAACATGAAATAGGATGTAAGGAAATACACTGATGTGATAGTTGTTAAGAAAATGAAAATGTTTTGGATTTGCTCCAGCAACACGAGGCATCTGTCAAGTCTCTGGAAATGCCATAACGGCGTGAAGATTAAGTTGAAGACTAACCTGTAATTGATAAAGAGAGATCTCTTCTAATGGTCCACCGGTGAACAATTGAATTTTAATTTTCAGAGAACTTGTTGATTGAGTTAGCTGATAAATTACAACGAGATAGAATGTGAAGTTGAGATAAAGCTTGTAAGTAGTTATGAACAGAAAAACGGAGTGTATGATCGAATAGACAACGTTTCTTTCAGGCGATAATACTATTTTGATGACAGTTGTATAAAGAGCAAGGCATAACGAACAACATGGCATGGAGTTGAAAAATCTGAAAAAAAAAAGAACAAATCAACTCTTCTTCGAGCCAACAGACACTTTTCTCCAAAACTTTTGAGAAATCCCCAGATCATATGGATCAATTAATAACTGCTGAATTATTTTTTTCCGAAGAAGAACGATGGAAATAGAGGAAAGCAGGGATGCGACGGCACATGAGAACACAAAGTTACTCGTAGTGTCCACTAAGCTATATGGGATCAATCGAATGGGTAGGTGAAGTAGAATGAGCAGTACGGAGCCTGGGAAACCAGTTCAACAGAGAAAAAAAAACAAAAATAACCTGCGTTGCTAGAAAAGAAAACTATCCAAAAGATTGTAGTTAAGTTGTTCCATTGTATAGAGCATACTGCTTGAAGAGCTAAGAGGAAGTACTTCTTCTCATCAACCTACAAGAATATGTCGAAACAAAAAATATTGAAGACTCACAAAGTTCTTTTCTCGATCTCTCTCTCTTACAGCAGGACTAACTGTCGATTTAGCCATAATCTCAATTCAAAACAGCTTCTCCTTGAATGAAAGTAGTTGAGGAATGCCAGAATGCTACGACTGGAATTCAACAAAAACCTTTCAAACTTGAGTTTCAGCCTGGCTACTAAATGACCGGAAACATGAATGTTCCTGGCACTGGAAGCACTCCTTCCTTCATACTTCCACTTCAATGCTTAATTCATCAAAAAGAGCCAGGTTAGCACTTTTCTCATTTACCCCTGAAGTCGCCTATTATCGGGTTACGGTACAGTAGCTGGTGACAGTCTGACTGTACGCTATTTACAACTTCGTCGGGAAGAATCCCTACGGCGGTAAGTTTATGCATCAGTAATGTCGAATTAATTTTTTTTTCTGAATGTTTTTAAGCTGATAAAAACAGTCTTTTAAGTGTGATATGCGTATGAAGAAATACAATTCTTATCTGATTACTTTAGGTTATCAAATTCTATGGCGGCAGAAGCTTCTACTTCAAATGAGAGTAACTTCTCCGGCTTTTCCACAGCTTCAGATAAACCTATTTATGTCGATCCAGAAGTGTTGAAGAAGGTTTGCTAACTCCAATACTGTTACCTAACTATGAATCTTTAGGCAAAAGAGAAATATTGTTTCGATGATGGAGATGTAGATTTCGAAAACTTTTCACAAAAGCCTGCTTCGTAAGAATACGCTTCCATTAGAAACTCAAAACAAATTCTAGCGTTTCTCCTGTAAAATCCTTTACTCAATCCTTTGCTAGTCCTTTGATGAAGTTGAGCACCACAAATACACCTGAAACTTTTTCAACTCAGAGGTAATTTCTATACTTGCTTAGTACAATTTTTTTTTCATTTCTGTTTCTAGTCCAGTTTTGAACCCCGCCCAACAAGCTCTTATGAAAGGTTCTAAGAAGGGATTCGTTTCCCCTCTGCACAAAAGCTCTCAAAACGGTTTCTCTTCTCCAATTTTGGCGAAAAAGTGAGGAAGTGATTTAATTTTTTGTTAAATATTGAATTATACATGTTTAGTTCACCATTATCTACTGATGTTAATCCAAATCCAGCCAAAAGGAGGTTCTCTGCTCCCTTCCGAGCTCCTATGTTGGCTCCTGAAGGAAGTGGAAGTAAGATCTAAGAGAAGGTCATTAGTAGTTCTTTTCTCAAGTTTAGCATCTCCCCGAATAGCAGATGTAAAACGAGAAGCAAGATCTCTTACCCCTAGGACCACTTCAGTTAACGCCACTGGTTTGATAATTTTTTGAAGATTTGGACTTCTGTTTCTATTTAGATCTTCCTACTCCAAATGCCAAAGTGAAAACGGAGGAAATCCCAACAACTTCCTCTGCAGACCGGGCGTTAGTCATAGAGTTGTGCGATATTGCTCAGTATGCCCACAAAAAAATCGGTAAGAAAAGAGAGAGAAGTTGATATCTTAAGTAATGTTCGTCCCAGATATGCAGGGAAGGATAGTGTGTATGCGAGCGAGAACTAAACACTCACAGTTGTCCTTTGCATTAGAAGATGATTGGGAGAACGGTGTTGAATGCTGTGTCTTCACCAAGAATGAGGATGAGATCATCGCAAAACTCAGATTGGGCAAAACGGTGACGATCAGAGGAGTTTTTGTGAAATGTGTTCAAGGTTCCATCTTCATCTTCAAACCAAATATCTATGATGTATTTTACAGAGAAGATCTCATTGGTTGTCAATGATAATTCAACCTTCAGCTATGAGTAATTTGAGCTTAGTCCAACTTTGACCAACGCCTCATTATCCCGGATTAAGCTTTCAATTATTCGTTTAGTTGCCCAAGCCATTATATATAATAAAATATACTCATACATATTTGAAAAATGACCATATATAATTTAGGATGCAGAGACGAAGCCCACTGGGCTCATTCAACCAAGCTTCCTAGCCTAAGTCGATCTTTCTTTTGCTCTCTATAGAATTTTTCAAAACATTCGATAGTTTGCATGACATAGATATCATAAGTCTCACACCGGCCTCTCCTTCTCCGGAAATCTTAGTCACAGCTTCTTTGAGCTGACATTTTTGTACAATTTTACTCTCTGTTTCATACTGTGTTAATGTTATTTCCGTTTTTAAGATTTTTTTCGTTTTCCTTGATGGAATGATAAACTGTGTTATTCTTAATTTCTGTCCACACCATTTCAATGTTTGTTCCCAAACGGCAAAATTCGATCTCTGCGACAGACAGAGAGAGAGAGAGAAAGAACACATATATCATCCGAAATCCAAAATGAAACCCAAATAACTTTGTAAATACATGAAAACATGTTTTCTACCATATGCATAATTAAAAGCTCTCTGCTTTAGCATGTTAATCATGAGACAACTGCTTAACCTCTTCAATCTCACCATGGTTTCTATAAAGCGTGTTATATGCCATTGACTGGCTGGCGCGTAGATTGTGTTGGCGCGTCATATGTGTTTTCATTAAATTGTCCTTCGCCGTTTGCTCATTTCTGTCTTTCTAATTAAAGTGTACTTCTAAATCTTCTCTCTTCATTTGCAGATTCTCAGACGATGTCGCACGGACATTCTCATAACGGAGAGGAATGCCATGGACATGGTGGTGGTGTTGGATCTTCTGATGATGCTAAAGCTATGAACTCTATCAGTTTGAAGCAGGTATTAGCTTCTTGCACGCATTGACAATAGCTTCTTACCCACTTAGGCAATAAACCTTCAACAATTGTCTAGACAATTGGGCGATATGAGCACTGATGAAAGCTCCAAGAGTTTTGCTTTCTGGAACACTCAACCTGTCCCGAAAATGGGTGATTTTTGAACCTTATTTCTAAATTTCAAAAGCTAATGTATATGGCATAAGCTTTACAATTGGTGTAGAATGGTGCGATCGATGACATACTCCGAAATCAATAAGGAAATAAAAATGAGAATTTGCGTCATTTAAGGCGCCTTAGCACTCTTTTGAGGTTTAACGATTTTCTCATTATAGATGAGTTCGTTGATGAGACTGTGAATTCATTCATCGAGCCTAACGTTTCTTTGGATAAGGTAGAGTTTTTTTTCTTATTCAGTCTGAATGAGTTCTTCCTTAGATCCGACAGGAACCTTACTCTCTTCCTGATGCTTTCGCATGGAGCGATGTTGATTTGAACGACGAGCAGGAACTGAAAGTAATAAACTTCATTTCCGAGTTATGTTATGATTTCTTGTATTTGTAGGAGCTGTACACTTTGCTCACAGAAAATTATGTCGAAGACGAGGACAACATGTTCCGTTTCGACTATTCTGCTGAATTCCTCAAATGGTGTGAATACCTCCAGCTTTACAATGCTCTAATGTGATGTTCAGGGCTCTTCAAATTCCCGGATGGTTGAAGCAATGGCATTGTGGAGTACGTGCTAAGCAGAGTGGAAAGCTCTTGGCATTCATTGGTGCTGTACCTCAAAAAATCAGTGTTTACAAAAAGGATGTTCAAATGGTTGAAATCAATTTCTTATGTGTTCACAAGAAACTTAGGTTGGGAAACTTCCCCATTTCTTCTTCTGATTGTATGGTTCAGATCCAAACGTGTCACTCCTGTTCTCATTCGTGAAATCACGAGACGTGTAAACCAACAAGGCATTTTCCAAGCCGCTTATACTGCCGGAATCGTTATCCCTAAGCCTGTGGCCATTTGCCGGTTTTAAAAAAAATCATAAATTTAATGCAACGACTTGTCTTGCAGTTATTGGCATCGCTCTTTGAACCCAAAGAAGCTGATTGAAGTGAAGTTCTCTCATTTGTCCGCCAAAATGACCTTGGCCAGAACCATCAAGCTTTTCAAGCTTCCTGAGGTAGCTAATCTCGTGATCTTTTTATTAATTGTTTCCATAGGAACCTACCACCCAAGGACTCCGTCCTATGACCAAGAAAGACGTTCCATCTGCTTTCAAACTCTTATCTAACTATTTGACTAAATTTGATCTTGCTCCTAAGTTCAGTATCGAGGAATTCGAATATTTGTTAACTCCAAGAGATGGCGTTTGCTATACTTTTGTTGTTGAGGTACATATCATCACATTATTACAAAAAAAATTTGTTTTTCAGAAAAATGGAGTCGTAACCGATTTGATCTCTTTCTATTCTCTGCCATCTACAGTCATGCATCATCCAGTACACAAAACTATCCGCGCTGCTTACTCATATTACAATGTAGCAGGAACTGTTACCTTTAAACAACTCATGAATGATGCTCTTATTCTCGCCCGCAAGGTATGAATAACGTATAACATGATTCCTTTCATTGTTTCTCTGTTCAGAATGATTTCGATGTATTTAACGCTCTCAACTTGATGGATAACCAGGACATCTTAGAAGAATTGAAGGTGAGTCGTTTGGACTGTTTGAAGAGCGAAGCCATGGTAGTTTGAATGAACTGTAAAAAAACCATTTCAGTTCGGCATTGGTGATGGCAACCTTCAATACTATCTTTACAACTGGAAGTGTTCTGGCATGTTACCTCACCAGGTTGGTCTCGTGCTTCAATAAAGAATCTGAGGTTTGATACTAATAAAATTGTTGTTATCCGTTGAATTTGTAAAAAGCTTAGTTGATCAGCTTTTGCACAATGCTCTATTTTATCCAAATCTTTCTTATCAACAATTGTTATGCGCATCATTTGTATCGTAAATATTTAAATCAGTCATTCTTGCGTGTTTTCTTGTCAGTTTGTTCTCTTCAATAAAAGGTTCGTAGGTCTGATAACGTTTTTCTTTGTAAACTTCTCTCAAAATTGCCAATACTACTCTGTTTATAATTGTGTGATGAGAGAAAAACAGAAAATCAACCGGTTCCGACCGCCATGTTAACTAAAATGAGTAGCCATGCGTACACGTGGCCGCTGTATCATCGTATGCTAATGAATGCATTACCAATTGCTTGAATTAGCATTTAAAGGGAGTCATTGCATCTGGAGAGATGCGTTGCTTGTATTTTCATAAGTAAGTCTCTCCTCTCTAGTCTGCGTATGTATTGTGTACGCGGTTATTTTCCAATTATTATTGCCGTTTTCGGAAACATCATCGTGTGATGATTAGCAGGTCTTCTGAATCTTTCTTGACAATACGCAACATGTTTTTCACATTTCGTTTATCTGACATTCTGTCATTTGTATCTTGATTTGTTACTGTGTTTTTATTCTTTTTATCGCCAAATTTTGTTTTTTCGCAGTATGATTTCTAAGAATTAAGGGACAAGAAGTACACGTGCTGAGTGGGAAACTAGCCATCTTCAGCTGTCTCAAATCCTACCCCATTTAGAGAATTTAATTTTTTGTCATATCCATATGCATGTATACATAATCATGAAAAAAAATAAGAAAATAGGAAGAAGAGAGGGAGAGAGGGAGAGAGAAAGGGGTTGCGTCAAATCGATCGAGCCCCCCTAGTTGGTTGTTGTTTTGAGGAAATGAACGTCTACTGGCAGCACGTGAAGCATTCAGACTCAAGTTCCTTCAGAAGAAAGAGACAAGAGTTTTATTCTTTCATTTTGCTTTAACAAAGACTACGATGAGTCTCTGTTTATGGCTTTTGTCGACTTAAAATGAAGGTTGATGAATATTCGGATTAAAGAGCAAAAAAAAAGATCAATTATTGCTTTTTTTTGGTCGATTTCGAAGTTATCTGCTCTTCTAAGTCTGATCATCCTTGCTCTTCGTTTGTATTTGGTTTATGAGAAGTCTTTCGCACTAGTAAATGAAACTTTCTAATCCTTGTTCTCATCTTCTTTGCTCTCTATTCCTTTCCTTTCTTCAAAAATTCTTTTCTACCCAGAATATTTTTCTTGAAACACCTTCGCTTACTTGCTTTCCTACTTCATGGATGACTTTGTTTGATTTTGTTTCCATCCATTTCCTTTCTACGAACTCTCCCCCCCCCCCCCCCCCCCCCCCCCCCCCCCCCCCCCCCCCCCCCTTTTCTTTTTTTTTTTTTTTT